CTTCTGCTCTCTCTGCTTTTCCTCAGAGTAGCTTTGCCTCGTCTGTTCCTGTTTGGCTGTGACGTCATCCTGGAAAAAAACATCAGCTGTGCTGCTTCTATCAACACCCTTGTTAATAGATGTTGGAGATCGGCCTGTTTTCCAGTGTGGTCCTGTTTCTCTGACCGTGACTGAGTGGATGTGCTCTCTTCGTCCTCTGGCATGGGAGCTGCCTTGGAGCTCGTCTGCCTGGCTGTGTGTTTCCTGGACGGGGCCGCCTTTTACAGCAGCTTTTTGTATCTCTGCTTCTGTCTCCTTGAACCCCAGTCGGCCTCGGCAGATGGCCGCTCACACTGAGCCTGGTTCTGCTGGAGGTTTCTTCCTGTTAAAAGGGAGTTTTTCCTCTCCACTGTCGCTACAAGCATGCTTAGTGTGGGGGATTGTATTTGAGTCAATGAGTCAATGCAATCAACTGGTTTTCCTTAGATAGAAAACTTTGTATCAATTTGACTGTATGATCTGGTTGAACTGTAAAGTGCCTTGAGATGACATGTGTTGTGAATTTGGCGCTATATAAATAAACTGAATTGAATTGAATTGAATTGAATTGAACTTGCAGAACCTCTCCCCACATAAAGCTATACTATGGAACATTAAATGCATGATAAGGAAGAGGAAGTCAGTTTACTTACAAAACTGGATTGACAGCAATGATGTTTTTATTAAGGATGGCAAAGACCTGTTTGACAGTAATCACCTATTATTTAACTATGTGGCCTTTTTTTTTTTACAGATATGATATTTTAAGTCCCATTAAAAGAATATGACCTTGTTTTCGATTCAAGCTCAAATAAAAAACAACAACCATACATTATACATACAGCTATATAATCTACACTGATTAAATTAATGTCAAAAGTGATAAATGTACGAACCAGTACAACAGGAAATGTTTTTTTTATTTGAGGGGGGAAAAAACACCTCTTGGGAAATTTATCTGGAAATTCTTAAGCAATTTAAATCTTTCTACACCTTTATTTATTCTATGTTGATGAAGATTCTCAGTCATCCAGGTTGTAGTCATTCTGTAAAAGTTTTAAAAACATTTAAAAAACAATCCACTGGACAATTCCCCCCTTTAACCACGACCTTCAGAATCATAGACATGTCTCAGATATTACAGGCTGACAATGGAACCAAACGACCCGCTCGTCGGTTTCAATTTGCATGTTTACAAGCAATACAAGGCCTTGTCTCTATAAAGACTCAAACTCACTGCGGATCCAGACATTTGAATTGAGAAAGCTTCCTTAAAAAAAAAAGAAAAAAAAAAAAGAGAAATCTTCCTGGAGGGGAAGAGAAATGTCTTCAAACCTTGGAAACCAAGTCCAGTGGATTTTTTTTAAAAACTTTTATTTATTCTGAATTATTATTGCCCTTTTAGCTACATTCTGGAAAAACTTAGAGAGTTATGTGCATACAGGTCCACACAAATAGTACATATTGAGAGAGTACTAGTTACAGTATAACCTCGTTTTCATCCTAAGAAAGCTTCATGTCCATAAAGTCAAATAATCTCAGTCCAAACTCCTTTGTAATGTATTACCTAATACAGTTAGGAATGTATTTTGAATCTGTACGATTATGTAACCAACAAGAAAGAGGTCTTAATTACCAATATTAACCTGGGAAATATAAATGAAGTAAAATAAATGTTGAACACGCCACCATTTTTCTCAGTAAATATATTTCTAGAGGTGTTATTGACATTTTCACCAGATGCCGTAACAATCCATGCAATCACACACACAAAGAAATCAAACCATAGATGTCCAGAAAGTAGGTTATGTGTAATAATGTGGAATGGTACTGGGAAAAAGCATTGAACACGTGAAGAAAGGGAGGTGCAGAAAGGCATGGAGAGCCAAGACACTAGCAGTAATTAGAAAGCAATCCTGCCCCTTGTCATTGCAAATTAATATCAGCTGGTTCAGTCCCAGATGATGGCCTCACACAAGATACATCTCATAATAGGTAAAAGTGAAAAGCTTTTTTTAGAACTTTGCAACCATATTGTTGCAAATAAATAGGACATTTATTTCAGAAGGATTTCTAAACGTCTGAATGTTCCAGTGAGAACTGTTGGGACCATTATCTCCCCATAAACTGACCATGACCAGCAGGTCCTTGCAGGATTCCTGACACAGGAGTTCTAAGAATTATCAGAAGAGTTGTCCAAGAGCAGGAGACCACTTGTGGACGGCTTTAGAAAGACCTGGAATTAGCAGGTGAAATTGTTTCAAAAGTAGTAGTAGTAGCGGTAGTAATGTACTCAACCGCCATCGCCTGTATGCACGTTCAGCACGCAAGACTCCATGCTGAAGAAAGGCATGTTGACGCATGTTTAAAGTTTGCTGAACAACATTTAGACAAGCCTGTGAAACGCTGGGAGAATATAGTCTGGTCAGATGAGACCTAATTAGTACTATTTGGATGCCATATTACACATATTTTTTGGAGACCAAATGGTACTGCACATTACCCCAAAAGCACCATACCAACAGTGAAGGTTGGAGGTGGGAACAATATAGTGTGGGTCTGTTTTTTCAGCATATTGTACTGGTAAACTTCAAATAATTGAAAGGAGGATGAATGGAAAATAGTACAGAGACATTCTTGATTAAAAGAAAATCTGCTGCCATCTACCAGGATGATGGAGATGAAACATCAGTGGGCAACAAGACATTGAGCCCAAACACACCCAAGGAAACTCTCAATTGATCTCAGGGAAAGATAATAAATCTGCTAGAATGGCCCAGCCAATCACCTGACTTGAATCCAATAAATCCATCCATGCATTATCTGACACGCTTGTCCCATTTGGGGTGCTATCTCCAGCTATCAATGGGCGAGAGGCGGGGTACACCCTGGACGGGGCGCCAGTCCATCGCAGGGCAACACAGAGAAACAGGACATGTATATATATATATAGCTGGTGTATGTATGAAAATACATAAACAGATCCATAAATACATAAAGAATACAGGACAAAGAAATATTTATTTGTCCTGTATTCTTTATTTATCAATTTTTTATGCAAGCAATTGCTGTATGCATTCTTTGTAGTTGTAATAACCGATTTAACAATGACTATACTGTCAAATAAATATAGATATAAATAATTCTAATAAATAATTCTGAAATCCAACAGGCCCACTTGAATACAATGGCGCCATCTCGTGGGCACGGTTATACAGAAACAAACTGTGGGTCAAATATTCAGAATGCTTATTAAAGTGTTTTCTAACCTTCTCATTAACTTTTGCAGTCCATTCAATCATATACAGACAGACGGGTTAAATGTCTAACCCCAGCAGCTTGAATCTAATCATTAAATTGCTGATTTTATTCCTTTTAAATGAGCAAGTGCAGGACAGTCCCTTGCATTGTGTCCCTGACTTTGCGGTAATCCCCCTTGCCAAGCCAGCAGAGGGCAAAAAACTCTTTTAACATGAAATGTTTGCGGGAGGGGCAAGTGACAGGCTGCTGCAAAAAAGAGGCAGTATGGATCATATACTAGAGTAGAAGCTGATGTTAACTTAATGAGGGCAGGGTCAGCACAGAAGCACTAGAAAAGAAACTCATGCAGGGATTAATATGCAGAATTCTAAGTGAAATAACTGGAATCTGTATATCTAATACACTGAGAAAAATAATGCAACTATTTTTTGCATTTACTTGATCATATTTAGTTACTTTAACGCAATTGTTTAATGTCATACCCTGTGTTAAAGTAATTAAATATGATTAAGTAAATGCTAAAAACGGTTGAATTGCTTTTTTCTTACTTGCTTCTACTCTAGTATATGATCCATACTGCCTCTTTTTTGCAGCATCCTGCTAAGCCTGTCACTTGCCTCTTCTGCAAACATTTCATGTTCATCTAAATCTTAACAATAGAAGGAGGGGGAAAAAAACCAAACAGCACCAAGGCAGGCTGCAGGACAGCTGATTTCTCTGAGTGTAATAAAAAAAGAAGAAATTGCTGAATTCAGCAACTGTAAAGAGATTTTGCAACATTTTCTGTCTGCTTTGCATTGGAAATGGGAAGTAAAAAAAAGAGGTGGCACAAAATAGCTTTGTTGCATCAGAGAGGTTTTTGTTTTGCGTTTCTGCTATGATGAATCATATTGTTTTGTTGAAAACCTTAAAAAAAGATAAATATATGAAGGTGACTTTAGATCTAACTATTGAAAAATAATGATATTTTAATATTTTTCATTGAAAAGATTAATTTCCTATTAAAAGTAAAGAAATGGAAAAATGGAAAAAGAGGTGGAACAAAGATAAGAAAGGGAGAGGATTGTATTAGGTTTAAAAAAATCTGCATTAAATAGAATCATTAATGAGAGAAACAGAAGGGAAGAAGTAATAACAATCAGATTAAGAGTGGGTCATACCTATTTAAATGACAATTTATATTATATGTTTATATTTAATAGGGAGGAAACATAATGATAAATGTGAAGGATATGGAGAAAAGGAAAATGTAGAACATGTATTGATGAACTGTAAAACTTATGAACATGAAAGCGAGCAATTGAGAAGAATGGTTGAAAGGACAGGCAAAGAATGTAGTCTTAAAGGAATATTAGGAGGAAATATAAAGGATATTCACAAATTAAGAAAACCATTCTTTATTTATCTACAGAATACAAAAAAAAAACAACCGAATTTGATGTAAAGTAATGTTGCTACACACTCATGTACAGCAGGTGACGCTATGCACCTTAAAGTTGCTTTCAATCCGCTATTATAGAAAAGAAGAAGAAGATTAATTTCCTAACACCAGGGGGCAGTATTGACATTCTAGAAATCTCTGCCAGGAAGTCAAACATTAAATACTATAGTACTTTACTCAATAAACAGAATCAGTAACCTCTAATTATCCGAAATTATATATAAAAAAAATACACAGCTTTTTTTTTCTAATTTCACAAGTGTTGATATTTGTGTAAAAAAGTAGGCAGGGCTGCGGCTGTTCTCGCCGCCCACTCGCTGATGCAGCATCCGCTCACGAGAGCAGATAATGCGGCCTGCCGTATTTTGATTGTAGGCTCTGGTCCAGCAGGCACCGCAGACATGGCGGCTCACTCCCTCGATCAACTTCTGCATTTGTAATTACATTTTGTCAACATTGCAGGAGTTAGCAGGGAAGCTGGCAGCTTTTGATGCCCAAAGCGGCTCCGTTTGGAGGACATGATGGAGGTTACTGCGGAGGGAGAGGCGGAGGAGCGCAGGCAAGTGACAGCTCCCTCTGGGTTCAGCACCTCCGGGTTACCCGGTGGTTGTTTGACTGCGGTTAGATGAACAAAAAACTAGAAAATGTTTTCATCGATAAGCAATGTTGCTGTAGGACTAGATAAATAAATGCTTTTGTTGTAAACAACAACAAAAAGAATAATTTAGCAGTGTTAGTTTAAGGTGTGCTAGTTTAGCTAGCTACATTTCTACCCTCTCATTAACAGTGACAGTTATATGCTGTCTTAATTGACATTTTTTTGCGTTATCTGTTTGTAAAAAATTCTAGTTATTCATTAAGTTTTGTTTTATTGCTAATTGTTAAGTATGCGCTTAAATGCTCTTCGTTGGTATGTTGTGCTAGCAGCTAAGGCTAACTGTCAAATGTTTTGTTTTTTCAAAAAAACAGACGATTTAACGCAAATTTATTTCTCCTATCTGTTGTTTTCTCTTGTAGGACTGCTAATTAGCTGTAGTTCTGCCTGATGATTAAAAAAAACAGAATAAAATAGAATAGAAAATCGCTTTGTTCTTCCAAAATGGGGAAATTCTGGTGTTTACAGCAGAAAAAAATTATAGAAAAAATGGTCACACTAATGTGGACCTTAGAAAAGTGTATAAGAATAACATAATAGTCAACAGTTAAAAAATAAACAGTAAATCACTGTAGAGTGAAGTGTTTTAACAATATAAAAGCTGTGCTCCTGGAGAAAAAATAAACAATATACAGCCATGGACATTTTTACAGTAATGGATATTTGCTAATAGCAGCAACATTAGGGATGTGCAAAATGACAGCAGCACGTTATTTAGCTGACCAAGACAGAAACTGTGCAAAATCAGCATGAATGTAACAACTAACCGAGATTGTTGGAAACAAAGGGGGCTTATGGGTGTCATCCAGCTGCTGGGAGGAAGAATCTGTGATGACGCTCCCTGATGCATTTATGATGCAGCAGTCTGTCACTGAAGGAGCTCTCCAGTTCCGCAATAGATTCATGCATGGGGTGGGAGACATTATCCAACAGAGATGTTAATTTAGTTCGGATCCTTTTGTTTCCCACCTCCTGCTCTGAGCCCAGAGGGCATCCAATCACAGAGCTGGCCTTCCTGATCAGCTTATCCAGCCACTTTCCCTTAGCTACAGATATGCCACTGCTCCAACAGACAGCTCCATAGAACAAAACAAGTTTCTATAAAAAAACAAATTTCTCTAGCTGATTATAAATCTGGTATATTCACACAATCTAAATATCAAGAAATCAGTATCTATTCTCATGGTCAACAACTTCATTAATAGTTTAGGGTTTTTGACACATGACATCCGAGAAGGAAAGGTGAAATTGGGAAATGAAGACTTATATTTTTGTTTTTTGTTATTTTTTTCCCAATGTGACATGCTTAATTATTCTTTTACAAATGCTAAAGTTGAATGGACCTTTAAGGACTTTTATTTTCTTGTGAAATGTTCTGGCCAGCAAGAACCTCTAGTAAAAGGAAACATTTGCCTGCTTTTATTAGATACACATAAGCCCTCAGAAACACTCAGCCATCTGTTGTTGCCTCCAGCTTGCTCTGCAGTATGTGGGGAATGCTATCTAACTTTAAGCCAATTGCATTATGTGATTTGATTAGTGTTTCAACACTGCAAGCTGTTTTTTAAAACTAAAGTGATTAGTGCTCGTAGCTGCGATTCTTCGCTCTGCTAAAAAGAGTGAAAGTCCAAATTTATCATGTTTAGCTATGCTTTTGTTTGACATCTCGTGACTAGATTATTTTCTAATTTTCACAAAAGCAAAGATCTAAAGATATGTAGGAAGAACAGAATCTTTTCCTAAAGATTCCCTAAACTAAAAAGCAGATCTCTGTGTTAGACTGTATTCATTAAATCGCTGAGGCTGCTTTTTTCCTCCCTCAGTGTCAAGGAATGTATTTAGATTAGCTGAACCACATTGTTGTCACCAGCCATTATTTACTTCCTTGTATAACCTCCTGTATTGTTTTTTTTACTTTCTCCCCATCATGCTTCCCTTGCTGCTTCCAGGAGGGAGCAATGGAAGCTGCTGTCCAGCCTGAAGACCACTGTGGAGGGCCTCCTGTCCACCAACAACCCTAATGTCTGGTCGCGGTACGGGGGCTTGCAGAGGCTCCACAAGGACATGAACAACATCCTCGGTCACAGGCTGAAAAACGAGCAGGTAAGGAAAACGTGTCTTTGTTCAACCTGCTTTGTTTTTTTTTTGTTTTTTTCCCCCCTGAATGATAAATTTAATCTGTCTGAGGACCATAATACCTCACCAGCAGTATCATTGTTATCAGATAACATTATTGTGCTGAGTATTTAGCTGCACCTTCCCTTCATTATTGCTTTTTGCTAACAATAAACCCTTCTTTTATTTATTTTAGTGGTTTATCATTGCAGGTGTACTACAAGCAGCGAGACTACTGGCCTTTTGTTTGGTGTGTTCGCTACATTACCCCCCACCTCGCTGTGAATGTTGAACAGGTACGGGTTTCTATGAGAGAATAGAAAATAACTCAGGGAAATTTATAGTCTGCATTAAATTAGAAAACCTCAGCTTGCTTTTTTTCACTTCTCCAATTGTTACTAAAATGATACCTAAGATGGGGACATTTTTTCTCTCATTTCTGGGGCTGTTTTCTGCTCCATCAGGTTGCGGGTCCCCTGAGCGAGTTAGGCGGAAAAGGGAACCATTCAGCTGACACTTTCCAGGCTTGTTGAATGTTTTGACATCAAACATGTTTTTAGTTTATAAATATAGTTACTATAAATTTGCCTTTCTGTCATATGATTAAAAGGTATCATTTACATCGAAAAGAGGAAAAAATGCATGTTTCTATTCTGAAAGCAGGCCTTGTTTCCTCCTGGCTTCAGATTTAGAAGCCAGAAGGATGTTTTTAATGTCTTTGTTTTGACCTTTTAGATCATTTGTTCCAGCTTATAAGAAGCATGCATGCATATATATATATATGTATATATTAATTAAATCCATTATCTGTTTTTATTTAAGGATAAGAATAAAGATCAGTTTAAGGAATTAATAACAATAATATGCTAAACATGCCAAAAAAAAAAAAGATCTTCTATAACTTTGTAGTCTTGTGTGTACTATTGCATCTAAAATGAGATTTTTTCTCAGCTGTAGAAACAGTTGCTTGTTTTTTGGGGAGATTTTGAAGCAATAGATGAAGCTTTGAGGAGCTGGAATGTAATTCTCCTGATTATTGCTGCTCTTGCTGATTAGCCGGGCTTAGCTGTGATCTAACAGTCATGTGATCTCCTGGTTTCTGTTCTCTATTGTAGTTCAAGTTAAGCTCAGAAAGGATTTGTTTTGCTATTTGGCAGTTCTGTTGTCTGATTTTTCTAAAAACCATGACATGCTGGTTCTAAATGATCATAAAGATAATTTATAATGGCATTCAAAATATTTCCGTTTTCTGCCCCTCTAACCTGCTTTTAAGAGAGCAGTCACTCTAAAACAAGTTTTAAGAAATATTTGAAACAAGGACATGATTATCAAGATGATCTTCTAAGCTCTACATTTCATGCAGAATCTGTATCGTATAGCATTAGCAGGTAGACTGTGTGTATAGTACCAGACTACCATTCAAATCCAGGATTCTCTATGAGAGGTGAAAGACTAAATGCTCAGAAAGCTAAAGCAGAGCAACGTAGCGGTAATATATTCATCCTTCTTGGTATTTGTAGAAGACTTTCTCTCTGTTTTAAAGTAAAAGCCTGAATGAAAAATCAAGTCAAGGAAAAGATTTCCTTAAAGGGGTCATAGAATGATTATATAGGGTATTTGGTGCTGGTTCTTAGGGTCTCTGAATAGGGTGTGTAACACTGATTGGGCTGAAAATGGCATATTTTCTGTACTATGCACCCTAATGCAAGCCTGGTTAAAAGCCCTAGAATGAAACAACAGGTTTTCTTCCTTTTATGGTATGCTCATGAATATTTAGATGAGCTGTGAGCTGATTGGTTGGTTTACAACGAGCAAAGCTGTAGAGCAAAGACGCATCATAGCAACAAGCACTCACTAAACATCGGAATTGTTGATATGGACACACTAGGTGTTGAACCATACATGTATGAGCCGGAATCAGAGGGAGAATCGGATGAATTTTACTCAATGTTAACGTTACTCCTTGTTTCCACTTCTAAAAGTGCTAACACGATTGACTTAGGTGGGTAACATTACAGCTAAGCTTCTAGCAACCAAACTATCATCATTCGACTTAGCTTTAGTCATCTTGCTGGAATAACCTGACGAAGATATGGACAAATGTGCATCGTAAAGTGTAGATTTACATATAAACATGTTATTTATTCGAACGAAATACAGCCAGGGAAATGAAATAACGTTACACCCGTTACATCGTAACACATTCTGCATGCTGCTACATATGATACGCTAGCATTGCTATCAGCTTATTGACAAAATAATACTTCCAGCTTGCGGTTGTGATGAGCTTACGGTCGGAACAGCCCCTCGTTTCAGTAAAAGAAGTTCAGCAAATCCTCCTTTGAACTGTCCAAAATTTTGAAAGCTTTCTTCTGGAAAATATTTAGAGCAAATGAACAGCCGAGCATCAAACTTTACAGGGATCTTCTTATAAACAAACATAGTCCATGCCTGTCAAGTCTTGGGATCCTTGGGAAGACTGAAAATGTTCGCCTTTCTCCATGCAGCCTAGAATACTGCATTTATTCCTGTGGTTCTGGCTCATTTTCAATAGAGAAACTGCCTGCTTTGTAATTCTTGTAGAAGTAAACCCAACTGTAGGCTAAACAGCTAATCTAGTGTCTTACATGCTGATGAAGGTTCTCAGTCATCCAGGTCATAGTCATTCCGTAAAAATTCAAAAAATATCCACTGGACTTGGTTTTCAAGATTTGAAGACGTTTGGCCACCTCTCCAGGAAGCTTTCTCAATTCAAATGTCTGGATCCGCAGTGAGTTTGAGTCTTATATAGACAACGCCTTGTATCGCATGGAAACATGCAATGGAAACCGATGAATGGGTCGTTAGTTCCATCGTTAGCCTGTAATATCTGAACCTGTCTATGGTTCTAGGGGTCGGTCGTTAAAGGGGGGATTGTCATTAAGGGGGGGATTGTCTCCTGTGATAGCTGAAACCTGTCTATGATTGTTAAGGGTAGGTCGTTAAGGAGGTATTGTTCACCGGCTGGAGCGGGTAGGTCCCTCGTTCCTCTGTGATGGGGTGGGGGGTTTGGTGATATCTGGAAGGGATCATGTCTATGATTGAATTGTATGTTTTTGGAAGCTGGAATCTGAGTCCACCACCTCTGTTTAAAGTTGGTTTTTCTCTCTTAACATAGATGGCTTCCTTCACGCCCCTCTCAAACCACCTATTTTCTTTATCCAAAATATGGACATTCTGGTCCTCAAAAGAATGTCCTTTGTCCACAAGGTGTAGGTGTACTGCGGAGTCTTGTCCAGAGGCGGCCGCTCTTCTGTGTTGGGCCATGCGTCTGTGGAGAGGTTGTTTGGTTTCTCCAATACAAAGATCACAGCATTCCTCACTGCACTTTAAGAGAGAAAAAACAACTTTAAACAGAGGTGGTGGACTCAGATTCCAGCTTCCAAAAACATACAATTCAATCATAGACATGATCCCTTCCAGATATCACCAAACCCCCCACCCCATCACAGAGGAACGAGGGACCTACCCGCTCCAGCCGGTGAACAATACCTCCTTAACGACCTACCCTTAACAATCATAGACAGGTTTCAGGTATCACAGGAGACAATCCCCCCCTTAATGACAATCCCCCCTTTAACGACCGACCCCTAGAACCATAGACAGGTTCAGATATTATATATAATATAATATCTGAATATATCGTATATTCAGATATACGATACAAGGCGTTGTCTATATAAGACTCAAACTCACTGCGGATCCAGACATTTGAATTGAGAAAGCTTCCTGGAGAGGTGGCCAAACGTCTTCAAATCTTGAAAACCAAGTCCAGTGGATATTTTTTGAATTTTTACGGAATAGTGTCTTACATCTACCTCTATTCATGTTCTTGGGCAGTGAACCCGTGGGCTGGTCTGTATGTCAATTTCTGGGCGTAACAAAAGTACAGGCCAGAACCAAATAAGGCAACATCCCCGATTTTACTTCAACTCCGGGGCGTCGTTTGGATTCGCCCGCTTTATGTTGGAAGTTTGGAATTGTGAGATTTGCAGAGAAAGGAGGCGTCGATGGGGTTTGAACTTCTCTGTACGACCATTTCACCCACGAAACCATCGTTATTAATCTATGACAATGGAAACTTGGTTTTGCATTCTATGACTCCTTTAAAGGTTGCTGCTTTGGTTGACTTCTAGTCCACCTCTGTCATGTTGTTTCTCTATCTGTGTAGTTGGGGTTTGTAGACTAGTAAAACAGTGAGTCTTTGGCTGGTGGGTCACTGGTTCATTTAAAACGCTGGCTGATTCTGTTCTCCACCTGACGGTAGTGAGGTTAGGGACTTGTTCCGTCACAGAGCAACGTCTCCTTTTGATGTTTTGGCCTAATAGATTCCATACTCATTGTATTCCAATCTCTTTGGCCGTTGCTCCCTCCTCAGTTCAGTCACCTGGAGCCGGTTTTGAGCACCGGGATGCACGGCGCCGGGGAGAGCTACAAGGCCGAGCGTTGGTTGCTGCACAGCTTACAGGTTCATAAGCTCTCAGCACAACTCAAACCTCTGCTCCGGCATATGGGAAACACCCGGAAATACTACAACGGTGAGTTTGGTGGGAGGGGGAGAAAATAAAACCCAAATCATTCTGTGTTTTCCAGTAAATCCTGATGATCTTTGTTTCTTTTCACATGGCTTTCATCTCTTCCTCATGTGGCTGCCCTTCAGATGATGCCTTCCTACTCAGTGAACCTCATGTGACCGCCATGTTTCAGTGTCTGGAAGCCGTGGAGCAGAATAACCCCAAACTGCTGGCTCAAGTAGACACGGTTGGGGTGGGTTACTCATGCTTTCAGATGTATTTCAAACTGCCTCTGAATGGGGGGAAAAATACATGCATTATGGTTCATTGGTCAGGTGTAGGTGAGGATTATTTGCAGGGATTCAAAAAAGACTCACCTTTAGGGGTTTATTTCCTTCCTCCAGCTTTCCCCTCTGAGGGGCTCTCCGTGCTTCAGTCTGTTGAAGAGCCAGAGCCTATGTGTGCTGCCAGGAGCCGGTGGGACCTGGAGGAAGGCGGACGCATCACCAGGAGGAGACTCTTTGAACCGCAGGCTAACCACGTCTAACTGCTCTCTGCGAGAAGCCGACCTCAGCCCGGCAGACACTACCAAGTGTAGGTTTGATCCGTCCGTCATGTTTCTGAAGCTGTGCTTAATTTCTGTTTATTTTATAGCAATTAAAGTTGTAAGGAAGTCATATTTAAATGTCAAATCATTCTGGCTTAAACATGTGTATAACTGTATTTGTTATCAGACCATATTGTCCCAAAAAATGTCTATTTGAAAAAAAAATCCTGTCTTAAAGTCTGTGTTTTTTTTCTTTTGTTATCTTATGCAGGCCAGTTAGTTATACGTCAGCTTGTATAACGAAATTCGGCCAATCATATATCAACGGTCATCTGTCAATTAACTTTTTTTCAGTCATAGCATCTTGATTCATATGGCGCAGCTAATATATGTAACGGTTGAAATCAGAATAATTTCCTTTCCCATTGAGTTCCGTCCCAGTGTTCACGGGGATGGACGTCTGTGTCTTCAGCAGGCGTAGAGCTAACAGAACTGGCAGCGTTGCGAGGCAAGGGCTCAAACATCCAAGATGGCGGCATGAATGGTTTGATGTGTGTTTGTCGCGTATACCTATTCTCATTTATACTCATTTTGCTTGCTTTTATACTCATATATGGAGAAATTTTTTGGCAGATTCTATGCTTGAGTTCTTTGGCTTTTAGATAAGGAGAATTTTTTAGATTATGGACTACGTTGTTGCAGAAAAGCTCCATCTCCAGGCTCTTCCTGTTAGCCCTAGCAGTCCAGCTACCATTTTGAGACTCCAGGCTCTAAATAGCCCAGCTATCACCTCCTGGCTCTGCTTGGATATTGAGGCCCTCCGAGCCTCTATAGGACCTGGCAACCCAGCTTCCATCTTCTGGCTCTACTTGGATCGTGAGGCCCTGCTACCATCTCTAGGCTCCAGGCCCAAACAGCCTAGCTACCAACCTCCTTCTCTGGCTCAGCTCTAACCCTGCTACCATCTCTAGGCTTCAGGCCCTAGCAGGCCAGTTACTGTCTCTGGGTGCTGTTTGGATCCTGTGGCCTTGCTGGCCCTTCCAGATTTCACTTGGATCTTGGGGTTCTGCTGGCTTCTCCGGACCCTGGCAGCCCAGCTAACAACTCCAGGCTCTGCGTGGATCCTGAGGCCCTGTCAGCTCATTCGGGTTTTGCAAACATCCTCTGCTAACATGGCTTTTCTTTTAATGTTGCTTTGCTCATTGTTTGTGCAAAATCTAAGATCAAGTGATTTACACTCGGTGAGTACATCTTACAACATTTATGGCTCTTTGGATGTAGCCTATGGATTCAACTGTTCAGCCTTTGTGCATTCCCCTCAAATGCCGAAAGAGTTGGCAAAGGACTTAAATTTAGCCTGGTTTCTACCCAGAGATATTCATCAGCTTCAAAATCTCTTGATTTTAAATGACTATTTTGCATTTGATGACAGACATTTCTGGGACTTTCATTTTAAAAACTCTACAGATCTGTTGTATACTGATGGTAAACAGAGATGGTTAATATTCTTATTGCTGCTTTTGTCTGGCAACGTTCAGCCAAATCCAGGTCCTGAGTTGCAGTGTATTTCATTGCCATCTGATGTGAAATCCATGTCTGGTTTGAGTGTAATTCACCTAAATGTTCGCAGTTTGTTACCCAAAATTGATCTGCTTAGAATTTGGGTGAATTTAACAGATGCAGATATTGTTGTGCTGTCTGAAACCTGGCTGACAAAATCAATTACTGATTCGGACATCGGATTAAATGGTTATAATGTGTTTCGTACTGACAGATTAAGGAAGGGTGGTGGGGTTGCTATTTATGCTAAATCTAAATTTAATATGAAGTTAGTCCATTCAGAATCAGTTGGTAAGCAGCTGGAATTTTTGGCAGTGAGGGTGGAGTTGGCCAAGGGCCTTTATGTTACTGTTGTCGGGTGTTATAGGCCTCCTTCTGCCCTCAGTACTGCATTGCAGACACTTATTCAACTCTTATCCAGATTGGACTACTCTGAAATTATTTTAGCAGGTGACCTAAACTGGGACTGGCTAAAACCTTGCTCAGATGAATTTAAGTCATTTTGTGATTCTGTCAATTTTACACAATTAATCAACTCTCCCACTCGTTTAAATCTTAAGTGCCATGAGAAATCCACATTAATTGATTTAATTTTGATTAATGTCCCGCACAAATTTTCTGCTGTTGGTGTTTTTTGCAATGACCTAAGTGACCACTGCGTTATCACTGCTGTAAGGAATACTAAGTTGCCTAAAGGTAAACCTCGTGTAATATGTAAGAGAAATCTTAAAAATTTTAATGAACAGGGCTTTTGCCATGATTTGTTTAATTGTGATTGGAGTAGAATGGAGCTGATTCCCGATGTGGAGTCAGCCTGGATCTTTTTCCGGGATAGTTTTCTGCAAGTAATAAATAAACACGCCCCACTAAAGAGATTTAGAGTTAAGGGGCGGGATAATCCCTGGTTTTCCTCTGAGCTTGGAGATATTCTTCATGACCGCAATTTAGCTTGGGCCAAAGCAAGAAAAACGGGCTCTTCGTCTGATTGGCTTGCTTTTAGACGGCTAAGAAACAAATGTTCTTCTTCTATTAAGAAAGCAAAATCTGATTTTTATCTGTCAGTCACTACTAATAACTTAAATGACCCCAGAAAATTCTGGAAGGCTATAAAATTACTTTCTTCTAACAAAGATAGTATCAATGTTCCTTCTTCTATTATGAAAGAGTCTGTAGTAGTTTATGACAAGCTAGAGATACTGAATCATTTTAATGAGCATTTTATTCAGTCAGGTTCTTTGTTTGACACTGTTTGTCCTTATGCTGTGACACCCTGTGGAGATGTGCCAGTCACTACGGGTGTTTTTAATCTCGTTCCATTTTCAGTGGCTGACGTTCAAAAAGCCCTAAAAGGACTGGTTCCTGAAAAACCCCCAGGACCTGATCTTATAGAACCCTATTTCTTAAAAATAGCTGCTGATTGTGTAGCACAGCCTCTAACGTACCTTTTTAACCTTACTTTAAAGAGCAACACTATTCCTAAAATCTGGAAATCTGCATTTGTTTGTCCATTACTGAAAGGGGGTGACCCGTCAAATTTAAATAATTATAGACCAATTTCTAATTTGTCTGTTTTGGCCAAAATGCTTGAATCCCTGGTGAGTGATCAGATGAAAGACTTCTTGCACGCCCAGGACATTTTATCCCCAGTTCAGTCAGGTTTTAGAAAAAAACATAGTACCATCACAGCTGCAATGAAGGTGATAAATGATATCTCTGTTGCTCGTGACAAGAAGCAGCACTGTGCATCACTTTTTATTGATTTGTCAAAAGCGTTTGACACGGTTGATCATGATGTTCTAAAGATTAGGCTTCTTAAATCAGGGTTTTCAAAGAAAACTGTCTCTTGGTTTTCAAACTATCTTAGTGACAGAACTCAGTGCATTAAGCATGATGGTGTTCAATCTGGTATTTTACCAATCTTTAAAGGGGTTCCACAAGGCTCTGTATTAGGCCCTCTTTTATTTACTATTTATATAAATGATCTTAATCGGCATGTGTCTGATGCAAATTTTCATTTTTATGCAGATGATACAGTTATTTACTGCTGTGCACCTTCTCTTAAACAAGCCATTGCACACTTACAGAATGCTTTTAATGTGGTCCAAAATACTTTGCTACAGTTGAAACTTGTGCTCAATGCAGAAAAAACTAAATGTATGCTTTTCACAGACCTTCGGAACAGGTCACTGAATGTTCCTTCAGTGGTTACTCTTGATGGTCGTGAAATACAGATAGTTTCAACTTATAAGTATCTTGGTATTGTCATTGATGACAACCTATCATTTAAGCCTCCTGTTCACTGTCTAGTGAGAAAGTTGAGACTAAAATTGGGTTTTTACTTTCGAAATAAGCTGTGCTTTTCTTTTAATGTAAAAAAACGGTTGGTGGCATCCACTTTTTTAACTGTGCTGGACTATGGTGATATATTATATATGCATTCATCTGCTCAATGCCTGCAGATGATAGACGCAGCCTATCACGCATCATTGAGATTTATTACTAATTGTAAAGCTCGCACCCATCACTGTGAGCTGTATTCTCGTGTAGGGTGGTCTGCCTTGGCTACACGGAGGCTTTGTCATTGGTATATATTTATATATAAGGCTATTCTTGGTGCGCTTCCATCTTATTTATGTTCACTTCTTATGAAAAAAAGTACTGGTCATTACTCTCTCCGTTCTCAGGCTGTTGTCTTGTTTTCTGTCCCACGTGTCAGTACTGAGCTGGGTAAAAAGGCCTTTGCTTACTCTGCTCCCTTTACATGGAATTTGCTGCAAAATAACATGAAACTTAGTAAATTGGTTCCTTTGAATACTTTTAAGTTGAGAATTAGATGTTTTGAGTTAGACTCCCTCACATGTCAATGTTTTAATTGAAATTTTATTGTAAGTGCATATTTGGCTTTTATGTGTGTGTCTTTTATACATATGTAATGATGTGATGTAATTTTGATGCCTATCTTGGCCAGGTCTCCCTTGCAAAAGAGATTTTTAATCTCAATGGGTATTACCTGGTTAAATAAAGGATAAATAAAATAAAATAAAACATGTACGGCTGTAAGCCTTCTACACCAAACCAAGCTTCTGTCGCCCTGGCGTCCTCTTCCACAACATCTTTTTCCCTACTTTCCTCTAAATAAAAAATGTATGACTGATGAGACTCTTCCACGACGTCCGACAAAAGAACTCTCCTCCTCTTGCATGTTTCTGCTGTCCATAGCATTCCTTGACAGTGTCATTTCTAAGTCACAAATTTAGGGCTACTTGGTCCCAATGGAATTTCCCATTGGGAACCTGCTAGCAATAAATTGCTAACTGGTTAGCAGGATGTTTACGAGGCACCGGCCACAACCAAATTTGCTTGCGAACCTTCCTCCACGACAATCCCGCCCCCTTGATAATCGACCAATCACATTCACTTTATTTACTCGTGTAAAGTCGGGGACCACTCGGGAGAATTCCGAACCACAACAGTTAGAACAGCCGCTTACCTACGACTTTAATAGCTGGTAAGTCTAGTGTTGGTTCACTTAGGGAACATCTAGTTGTTCACAGATGTAAACAAAATACACGTACGAGATTATTGATCCTTTCTGGCGCCTCGTTAGCTTGAATCATCAGCATTTTGCTTTAGCTGGTTAGTATAAAGTTGCTTTCTAACAGATTTTCAAAGAATGTCTTAGCAAGCATGATAATGATTGTTTGGCTGTGAATGCACTGGATGCAGCCTCTATAGCAAGTAAAGATTCAGTAGTGCTGGGTTCAGGATGCTAACTGTTTTCTCAACACCAGGAAAATTGATCTTCCTGTTTGTGAAATGAGGGAAAAAAATTGAATGTCCTTGGAGTTGTAGACCCCGCAGACCATCAGAGTCCCGTTCCCCTCAGAGTTCCCTGGATTAGAGCTACATGAGGCGAGGATGCTTAGTTTATTGCTCCTCAGCTTTGGAGGAAACTACCTTAAAACTTGAGCTTTGCAAATCCTGTGTCTCATTTGTGAATCAGGACTAAATAGATTTACTGCAATTTTGCCCACACAGGTCAAAGTTTGCTTTATTTTTTTTTTTTTTTTAATTTGAGTTGTCACATTTCTTAATTTAATGCCAGGATTTGTTTCTTATATTTAATGTTATTTTCTTTCTTTTCCTGTGCATGAAAGGGGCTATAAATAACGAGACAACAATTCACCTTTTCTTGAATGATTAAAAACCAAAAGCGATTGGTTGGTTTTGTTTGCAGTGATGGTCTTTTGTTTATGCTGTGTTGCAGGCACTACCTCTCCAGCCAGCAGGGTGGAAACTCCTTGGGCGTTCGTGTCCAGCCTAGGGGAGGGTGAACGCGGTGTGACGCCTCCTCCTGGATCCACTTCCACCCCTCACATCGCCCTAACAGAGTCCCCATCCTCCTCCGTTCAGCCCGAATCTGGGGACATCTGCGATGGCGACTCCGATGACGGTCCGGAGTATCTGGCCATCGGTAATCTTGGGCAGCGCAGTCGTTGCAATTCCAGAAACTCCACCCACAGCAGCGAGCAGGACCAGAAAAAGGAACCGTGCACACAGCGGGGTTCTCTGGCCCCGAATCCGCCAAGGCGCTCCTCTTTCTCAGAAGGCCAGAAGGGCCCCGGCAGGGGCGCTAAAGGACACACCCGCTCGTTTTCAGACACGGGGATCAGTCAGAAACTCAGGAATGGTGAGTGGATCGGACTTCTGAAGCATCTGAAGTATCTGCTGTTTAACCATGCGCTCCAGTATATATTTATCTGGGAAATATTTGAAGAACAGAAGATTTCAAGAAGCTGTCTTGCTTTAGTTGGAGTGTTGGTTGGCTTTAGAAATGCTAACAGAGGCTGATTTATGTGACTGTCCTATATGGGGTTCCTACACAGTCTGCAAAGTTTGATTACATTTTTTCTACATTTGGATGAAAAAAAGTTTAAAGTCGTAGGGAAGTCATATTTAAATGTCAAATCGCTAAAACATGTATATAAATGTACTCTTTATCAGACGGAAATGTAGAAAATTTTTATAAAATAAAAAAATCCTGTCCTAAAATCTGTGGGTTTTTTCTGTTACTTTATGCAGGCCAGTTAGGTATACGTCAGCTTGAGCACCTAAATTCGTCCAATCATATATTAACGTTGATCTGTCAATCAAATTTGCATTGCATCTTGGACGGGGATGGACGTCTGTGTCTTCAGCAGGCGTAGAGCTAACAGAACTGGCAGCGTTGCGAGGCAAGGGCTCAAACATGTACGGCTGGAAGCCTTCTACACCAAACCAAGCTTCTGCCGCCCTGGGGTCCTCTTCCACAACATCTTCATCCCCGCTTTCCTCCTCTAAATAAAAAATGTATGGAGAAGGAGACTCCTCTACGACCTCCGACACAAAACTTTCATCGTCTTGCATGTTTCCGCTGTCCATAGCGTTCCTTGACAGTGCCATTTCTAAGTGCTACTTGGTCCCAATTTAATTTCCCATTGGGAACTTACTAGCACTAAGTTGTTAACTGGTTAACAAGATGCTTCGGACAAACCGGCCACAATCAAACTTGCTTGCAAATCTTCCACCACAACAATCCCGCCCCCTTGATAATCGACCAAACAAATTCACTCGTGTAAAGTTGGGCACCACTCGGGAGAATTCGTAATGCAACGATTGGAACAGCCGTTTCCCTACGACTTTGAAAGAATATTAATTAATATTTAATTAATTCAAAATTCACTACCTACATCATTTCAGATCTGTCCATTTGGCTCTTAGTCCATTCCTTCACAGCGTCTATCTGTTGATCCATCTTTCTGTCTAGGTGCTCGTTTATCGGATTGTCCACACGTCTTTTAATCCATCCTTCATGATATGTAAACTGTGTAGGAACCCTGCCTTTGTTGCCTCCTGTCAGGAAGTTTAAACAGCTTTAAAAAGATTTCAGTTTATTGCTCACTTGTTGTTTTTAATTCCTTCTTAGCTCCAGTTAAGCTTTCCTTCTCCTCTATCTCTATATTCTCTCTGTGCAAAGGAGGGGGCCACAGAAAGATCACCATAATAATAGAGGATCCAGTTGCAGGTTGGCAGTGCGGTTTACCTGTACTTCCATCACTTCATCCCTTCCTTTGTTTTTTTTTATGTAGTTGTTTTGTTTCTTGCATGTTTATGAACAGCACCCCTCTCATTTCCAGTATTATGCTCGTCTCATCGTTTGTTCCTCAGGAGCTGATAGATTAGCTTAAATGCACGACACAGATGGTTGCCTCCATTGATGAGGTTTTGTTTATTCAAACATTTTGTTTCCCTTTTTCTTTGTCCCAGCATTTCACTGTAAACATTACTTTAAAATGTTGTTTTGTTTTGCACCTGTTTTCATGCTTGACATGAAGAGACAAGTACATTTTGTATTCAAAACATGTTACTCCATCGTCTTTTACTGTCTTAATGACATGGTAACCTTTACTGAGTGTCAAACAGATATTGGAACAGATTTTTTTTTTTTTTTCAAGTTTAAATATATATAATTGGCACAAAATTTCCTTCAAATGTTTGCAAAAACCCAAGTCATCCAGCCATCCAATGCAGTTCATTTTTTTGCAGCTTAAGTGAATGGTAAATAGTTGGTGAAATGCAGTTAATAAGAACTGACATTGCTGATATTTGTATTATATTTGGTGTAAAAAGCTGGTTTGTAAATACAACTTCAAGACCTTTGTGGAGAATATGGTCTCAGGTGGGATTTTTGACTGACTGTTCCACATAAATTGTCTTCACATCTTGAAGGACCTGAGTCCCTCTCTGACCTTTGACCTTCTGTAGTTTGTAAAGAATTTTTTTTTTGGATAAATGTGAGATTGACTGCCAGGGTTACCCTTTTTTACCCTTTTTCTTTGAAACCAGGGGTCCGTTTCAAAAAGCAGATTTACTGAAAACTCTTTTCTAAACCTAAAATCGGGGAAACTGAGTTTTCTGATGCACACAAACAGTTTACACAACCTCTGTTTCTGTTACCGTAGTAACATTCTCCCCAGAGCTAACTTGGTCGGGAGCAGGTTTTGCTCAGTAAACTCTGTGTCCTCTGTCTCCTCTCCTTACAGTCAGTGACATTGTTTTGCTTCCTGTTTCAGTAAGGTATGCCGTAGTTTTCTCTATAATGTTTTCAGTACACGATGAACTACTCAAATAATTTTTTAGATTACACATAAATAGATTAATTAACTCCACTGGGAAAAATTTATAACTTCCCGGTTAGGATTCTCTCAGTAAAAACAATCTACTGAGTCTACTGGCACAACCTTAAGCAATTCTATGGGACTGATAACTGCTAATTATGACCATTTATTGGGATGATGACATCCGAAGCAGCTTTTTGAACAATGTTTTTATTCTTCATCTTCACATGCTGCCAGATGAGTTCACCTACAGTAAATAGACACATTGATCCAGCACCATTCAAGAAATAAACCCGTAATGTTACCGTTGTTAAAACGGCCTGATGAGAGCCATTTTGATATGATTAATTTGACTCAATATGTATTCCTGATATCTGAAAAAAAAAACATTTTCTTTTTTAAAATGACCACTTCAAACACAATTACATTCTTCACATCTAGAATAAACTGGATGTCCAGAAATCAAATTCAGATCCCCATATTCATGTTGTTACTGGTCAGCACTTGTATTATTCAGTCAAGCTGATAAATGTCAGAAAAGGTATGTAAGAAAATTTGTTTTAGAAAATCTATTATTAAATTTCTGTCTAGGAATGGGATTTTGAATAATTATTTTTGTGATCTACAAAGCGCTTTTATTAGATGTTAAAACGGCCCTTTATACTGGACTTCATATAAACTTGCGCACTAACTGGAGCAGGAATCTTCACCTTTGTCATTTTCCTCTCCTTTGCAGCTATAGAGCTATCAAGGACTCCCTTGAAAAAGAGATTGTTAATCTCAATGGGACTTTTCCTGGTTAAATAAAGGAATAATAAAAAAAAAAAATCTGTCTTTTAAACACATTCTCCATTAATTTGTTTAATTTCTGCATTAAAATCTCTAGTTCCAGTGGGTTGAAACGGACATTTTCTGTTGCCTGTCGTCATGGTGACTCGTCGAATCGGTACTCCACTGATTTTGGGTTTTCATTGTTACGCATGTGCTCATCTCTGAGTGGACCTACTTAGAGTTGATTGAGATAACTCACAGCAGCTTTTATGAAACCCGAAACTCAGCCTTCCCAACCTTAGGTTAGATCATTTCAGAGTTGAGGATTTAAGTCTGAGTTTCTTAAAGCTGCTTTGTGAAACGGACTCCTACAGCGTCATTCCGTACATAAGTTATCAATATTGTCTCAGTTTATATCTCCATTTATCGTTCCTTTAATTAAGCGGCTTCCCTTTTCCACGTGCTGCAGGACGGCTCACGCCGTGACGCTTCCTTCTGCTGAATTGGTCTGGTATTTGTAGGAGGATCTGCAAAACTGTCCCTGCAAACCTGTCCCCATCTGGCCAGACTTCACTCTTCCAATACTTCATAAGCTTTTCTAAACCTTTAAACAGGCTTCCAGCAATTGTTTTTAGCAGCAAGTGGCCATTGGAGTTGAATGGATTACTTGTTGTTTTCTTTGGAAATCCTCTACCTTCTGCTTCCTGATCTTGCTGAACACACTGTGCCAATACTCTTTGGCTTTTGGAAAGAGGAAAAACTAAATGTATAACCTCTGTGATAGAATTTGGAAGAAAAACCTTATTATGGCTCCAGTAAATCTTCCTGGAACATTCAGAAGTTTGCAGCTGCAGCCTTTATCTTTAGGATGTTTGGCAGTACCAGGAATGCAGCAGAAATACTGTCTTTAAAGGTTGACAGATTTCAGCTCATTATTTGGCTTTCCACACACTGGCTCTACGGTACTGTTTTGGTATCACAGTGAGGACCATTTGCAGGTCCCTGCTTCCTTTATTGTAACAGCTTTAGGACCAAGGTGGCAATTGAGTTTAGGGTTAAGTATGCATTGGTAAAGGTTAGCTTTAGAGTTGTCAGGCTTAGAGCATGGAAAGGTCCTCACTACATATAGCAAGACAGGAATTTGTTTGCATATTTGTACTCCTTCCTTATTCCCTCGCCTTTCTACTTCATTACACACAAGTTCAGATCTCATTTGTCCATAGAAAAAAATATTCTCTAAGAAAAAAACATGTATTTGTTCAATACTGCTTCATACAGGTAATATAACCTCATATGTTTGTTTAAACAACCATTTAAGTGGTCAAATTGATTTCATGGCTTGTCATCAGTTTTTTTGAGACACGTTTCGTTTAGAAACACATAGACTTTAGCTGGGAGCTCAGTTCATGTGTTTCTGTTCATCAGAATCGGCGAGCGAAAACTCCAGCATGGCGGAGTACAGCCTCTTCTCACCTCAGCGCAGTGATACCAGCACACCCAGTTCTCTGTACATGGACTCCTGTGAGTTTTATTTCAAAGAACATCAGCAGTCTCTCCTCTTCCACAAACCGGTTGCATGTTCTCTTATTTGATCATGTTTCTTTTTTTTTGTAATTTCTGTCAGAAGTTTATAATTTTACAAAAAGAAAACATGGTAGTAAATATATGGGATGTGATTATGTTTCTACAGAGTTGTGCAGATCCAGGTTTTATCTTAAGTTTGTAAGAAACTGCAGTGATCGGAAATAAAATTTCCTGGACTACTATGTTCCCATGTTTCTGTTATAAAATAGTAAAACTCTAAAAAATATAAACCACCTGCTCTTGTTTGTTGGATTTGCTTATTGAAATAAATGTATGGCTGCTTTGTTTACTTCAGGTGGGCCACAGTACAGAGGCGTACCAGATGGGATGTTCAGGAAACCGTCGAAGGGCCAGAGCCTCATCAGCTACCTGTCAGAGCAGGACTTTGGCAGTTGTGCCGACCTTGAAAAGGTAGAGATTTGGTTCATCTCAGATCCTGGTTTAGCCGTTTGAGAAACGAGTCACACCACACGCCTTAGTTTGGGTTCTGATATGTCGGATCAATTCCGTGTTTTTGCAGGAGAACGCTCATTTCAGCATCTCGGAGTCCCTCATCGCCGCCATTGAGCTGATGAAGTACGACATGCTGCGGCGGGAAGAGGCGGGCATGGAGGAGGAGGGAGACAGCGACTCAGAGATTCAGCAGCTCAAGCAGAAGATCCGTCTGAGGAGGCAGCAGATCCGTCGCAGCCGCCTGCCTCCCTGCATAACCTCCCAGCGCAGTACGCCGAGTTAGATTTAACATGCGTAGAGCTGCTTTTTTATTCTGAACTCATCCAATTATTTACTGTTTTTAATAATAATTAAATGCCGTAACTAGCTTTCAGTAAGGAGTAACTTTTACTTTATTCCCTCTCTTTGTTTTCTGGTTTGATTTTTACACATAAGGATAAAATATGAGAGAAAAGCAGAGAAAAATCTTATGATCAGGGTTCTCACGGGTCCTTAAAAAGCCTTAAAAGGCTTTGAATTCTTCAAAATAAAACTAAGGCCTTAATTGGTATTAAAATGTCTTAAATCAGTCTTTCGTAGGTCTTAATTTTTAAAACATCATAAATAGGATTATTTTTATTACATTTTATTTTTGTTATCTAAATAAAACGTTAAAATTTACTTTTTTTTTTTTATATATAAAAAAAAATAACGGCTCGCCATTATTGGTTCCATCCCGATAGCGAAACCAATAAAGCGTTGTTGCGGCCGGGACATTTGGGAGATGCGCCATTAACTTTTTGTCTGGAAAATATGAGCAAGTGTAAACGTAACCAAAATTGTCTCAAGCCAAGAGTTTTTTCAATGGCTAAAACCAGGGAACATACATGAGGCTCAGTGGATTTTGTGCAAGAAGTCATTCAAGCTCGGAACGATGGAAATAAAGGCAATGGAGTCGCATGCGAAGCACGAAACACAAAGCGTCAAAATGGAGTTACAGAGAAACAGCCGGTATTTCTCGGTTTTGTTCCACCCTTGTCTCTGCAACGCCTCCACTTATCACCAAATCAAACATACTAAGAAAACAATGCAAAGGAAAATAGCTGCAAAAAAGACTTAGCACTTGTTATGTTGTGGCTTTAAAACTGATTTGTTTTGTTTACTGCTAAAACAAAGTTTGTGAATTCAGTTAAATAATTGTTAAAATATATCTGTCATTTGTGTGTTTTTAGCTTTCTTCTTGTATGGGAAGCTTTTCAAAATTTGAAACATTAGTGCAGTGGTTTATGTTAAAATAAACCTTTGGGTTAAGTTGTTGCAAGCTGTTTTTTTCTTGTGTTTCTTGTGAATTTGGTCTTAAATTTTTATTTCAAGAGGCATAAAAAAGTCTTAAAAAGTCTTGAATTTGACTTGCCTTATGCTGTAGGAACCCTGATGATAACACTTAAAAGAAAGTCACAAATGATTAGCATTTTTCTCATGATATCTATAAACAATTTTCTTATTTTCAGATTTCCACTCCAGTGACAGCGGCGGCTCCAGAAGGAGCTCTCACGACTCCTTCCAGGGCCTGTCCGACTCCGGCTCGGTCGAGGAGGTGGAGGAATGTGAACTACAAGGTACAGAGAGCGGGAAAAAAAACAACTTATTAAATATTAATTTCCAAAAGAAGTTGTTGATCACTTTCATTGATTAGTACAATAATCATAATGTGTCATTAAATCATGTAGAGGATGTCTTCACCACTGACTGCTGTCAAAGCTCCTAAATTATTACCTTAATCCAGATAATAGACCTTTTCTTTCAAATTTCTTCTTTAAACATAAAGCCATCATTTGTGTGTTCACGATTCATGACATGTCATTTCATAACGTTATTGGCTGCTCAGCAACCAGCTTTTATCATCCCCCATAAACCTGTAGGTCAGAGTACAAAGGTCACAGAAAACCAGTCTGCAGATTGTGGATTTAAATAGTAACATTTACGCATTCAGAGCTTTTATTGCCAGATGCACCTTTTTATAGCCGGTTTGACTGTATAAACTTGTCATAAAAAATTTGATTGTGATGAGGAAATTCTGCATTGTTGATGTATTAATGCTGGTTTTCTTGGGTGGGTGTCTTATCTGTTCCTTTAACAGGGTGTGTGTCTTCATTGCACTGTGATTTATTAATCATTTACCATGACAGCTCCCTCCTTGTGATTGGCAGTAAAACTAACACCTCTGTAGCCGGTGTTAACGTCTGAGTGTTTGTGGGTGTGCACATGTGGGTGATGGTCGTGCTGAGTGTTAGTTTCTGTCTCTCAGATGGCTGTGAGGGCCAGTCCCTGCTGGCGGTGTCTCAGAGCGGCCTCTCCTTGTCACTCGCCTCCCTCTTCTCAGGTATCTGTGGGCGGGGCGGCTTTATGCAACTCTTAACAGAGAGGAAGCTGGTGGTTCTGATCCAAACCAGAAAAATACCATCTTTAATCTTTACAGCTTCATTAGATTTGGCTTGAAGAGTTACTTCTAGCAATATAAGTCAATGATTTACAGTGACACTGGATTATTAACATGCTGCAACTACAAGTTTCTTTGTTCTTTGCTTTTAATGGGATTTTATACAATAGGACAACAATGAACCATACTTCAGTTCTGACATGAGAGTCATGCATTGTTTTCAATAAAAAGACAAATCTGAGAAGTTTGACACACTGTTAAGCAATAATGGCCTATAACAAATTTTAGATAAGTCTAAGTTCAAACAAAAAGAAAAAAACTAAACAAAGTTAAACCAAACATTAAAAATGGATAGAAAATAGATAACGTGCTAACGTATCACCAAACATGCATCGTTGCTTCTCAAGGCATGGCTGCAGAATGTGTTCATAAAACGGCTAATGCATGCATATATCGGCCGACACAAGGCCGGAGAAGCCAGCCACTATATCGGTTTATCTCTAACCCACTCTTGTGTTCGGTCTACTTGGTTCAACTTCCTAAATATAAATGTGCTTTAAATAATAACCGCGTAGCGACTGAACTATTGGGGTCCTTTTCCTGTTAGAAAGGGGAGTTTTAATCCATGGACCATTTTTTTTAAGAGACTTGAGATTTTGTTCCATGACAGCCTTACAATGGTTTCTCCTTCATCCTAATAGATCTGACCAGTTGTAAAAAAGCATCCCCGTAGCATGATGCTGCCACCACCAACTGAATGGTTTAGGAGTGATGTTCAGGTGGCTGTGCAGCAGCAAACCTCGTTCCACTGGTTTGTTGTATGTATGCCACACTTTTCAGATTTTTGTTTGTTTAAAAATGTAAACTATAAATAATTTTTCTTCAAATTTATGAGTTTTTTTTCTTAAAAAAAAAAAAAAAACTAGTTGTGGTTGCAAACATGATTTATGAGTTTTTATTAAAGGTGCTTTAGCTAGGTCATCAAAGCTGTTTTAATTTTGATTAATATTTTATCCTGCTAGCATTGCAACTAGTTGTGTTTTCAATAACTTTCTAAGTGGCAATATTATGAAAGTACAGGGGGAATTTTATTTAATTTATTCCTTTCATTTAGAATAAGCAAATTTTCTTCCTGCTTTAGAAATAAAGTTCAGCTCATTAGGCTCTAGATTGAAATTTAATCAGCTATAAATGGAAACAAAATATCAGACCTTCAGTGTTTTAAGAAAATTGTTTTATTTCTTCCAAAGCAACTGTTTTGATTTTGCCATTGACTTATTGTGTTAAACATGAGGTTAGTTGCTAAATAAAACTAAATGAACCCAGTTTCCAGTCAATTAGAATAAAATCCTACCCCGACCGTCTGGTTTGGACATGAACCAGCTGCCTTCTCTATCTTCTGAGCTGCACTCTGCTTGGCTGTCTGTGTCGGTGCCTCCAGCTTTGGTGGTGCAGGGAGACTGGTGCGCCTGTACCTGTTTGGTACAGGTGCCAGCAGATGAGGGAAACAAGTGGCGTCATGCTTTAACCATAGCTTCATCCATCATCATAATAATCATTTAACCTCTTTCTGTCTTTATTTTTTCATATATACATTCCTGCATACTATCTTTATATTCATTCAATAAAAGTAAACAATGATCCTGGTATATTTTGCTTCTTATTCTAAAGTAAAAATCGCAGAAAGTTACTGATGAAGCAATCAGTGCAAACCAATCTTCCTCTGAGAACAGTTACCCGAATTCAGACAAATCAGTCTCTCCAACTCTGATCTTCCAGATTTTTATTTTTTCTGCACAGAAAAACCCCCTCTATTGACCTGCTAGCTGTCTCCTGCTGCTCAAAGTATTTATTACAAAGCCTCTTTGTAAATAATCTGCTAAGTAACAACAAACTGAATTTTTGATCTTATGATTTAGAGAACCTGAAATGATAAATCCCTTCAGGCAGTCTCCTGTTCTGCCAAACCTGTTCTGCTCATTTCCAGTGGCTTTTTGTTTAAACTTAAGTTCACATGATGTAGAAAAATCGATTACGCCTTTGCTGCATGCCCCTTCCTGAGTTTGTGCAAATTATGCTTACATTTAATAAGAATTAAGACATTTGTTTCTTGTTTTAACTTGTACCTTCTGTAATTTTAATAATAGAAATATGTCTTCTGCCTTTGCTTGCACATTTTTCTGGCTGTTCAGTTATTTTATTGCTACTTTTAAAATCAGAGAAATTTCTTTTTTTGAAGTATACCACACCTTTCAGAATTGTTGGCACCTCTGGTAGAGATCTGTAAACTAGTCTTAGAATAAATGGTTGATAAGGACAGTGACCCCAGGATGAGGCGCTTTGAAGATTTCTCTAATTTTACAGCAATAGTTTAACATTCAGCTAATTGTGGGACTTGTTTTTTTTATTAACAATCGAGATTATTCCACCGCTAAAAGAAGTTAAGTTTATTTCAAGGCTTTTTACGCATGTCTAGCAGTGGTGCACTAAAGTTATAGGACTAGGTGTGAGGTGGACCACAAAGGTTTCTCCACCTGGAAACCATCAGATACCATCTGAAACCATCATACCTCTATTCTCCCTCTATCTTCTAGATGCTGATATAAAGCGCAGCGTGAGCTCCAGTGGCAGGTCCTTCCTGAGCTCAGAGTCCATGTAAGTTATGTTTGTTTCTGTTAATGGATTTGAAAAAAAAAAATTAAACCTTGCATTAAAACTGAGAATTTTGCACATATTAAGTTTTAACTTCTTTTTATTTTTAGTCCCTAAAGTTTGTTTTTAACATTTTCATTTAATTATTTAAACTTAAAACTATTTTTTTTCCCACAGATTTAATCTCTTAGAAAAAAAGAAACCAAAAATTTGTTTTTTAAGGGACTTCTTCTCTGCTTTGTTAATCTGATTGAAGGTTTTCATTACCTCTATTAATTAGAAGTGAACAGAAAAGTGTTAAACTGTCATCCTTGTTTTTAATATTTATTTTTACTTCGCTTTACCCATTTTCTTTTTTTTTTCTTAGCTCTCCATCCTTCCTCCAGTCTAACTCGGCCGAGTCGGTAGCTATGGGTTTACTCAGGCAGTTTGAGGGCATGCAGCTTCCTGCAGCTTCAGAGCTTGACTGGCTGGTCCCAGAACACGATGCTCCACAGAAGGTGCAACGTCTCAGTATAGTCTCAACTAAATGATGATGATCCATAGACGATCAAATTTCATGCTAATATTTAAGCCTAAAACATGTAAACATGTTCACAAAGCTCATATAAACTCTGATCCTGTTGCCTACCAGCTGCTGCCTATCCCCGACTCCTTGCCCATCTCTCCTGATGATGGCGAGCACGCAGATGTCTACAAGTTGAGGATTCGAGTTCGAGGAAACCTCGAGTGGGCGCCGCCGAGACCGCAGATTATCTTCAACATCCATCCTCCTCCAAAGTAAGAAAATATAGAAGTCCTTCCTCACTGCTGCCTTTTGTCAAACATTATCTACATGTTCTACCCTTATTTTAATAATATGATGAAACACTTTGGGTTTTACCAAATGGTTGAAGAGGAAAATCTATCAAAGTATAACTATGTCTGAACATTAGCAACATGTGCAGCTGATTTTTAGTATGTCTGCCTGGTACTAAATGAGATTTTAACAAAGCCAATGGGAGAAATTATTCAAATTAAGTTTTTAAAATGACTGAAGTTACTTTGAACCTCTGCAGCTCATTGTAGGTGCTTTACTTTCTGTCTTTTTTTTTTTTAAGATTTCATATCAGCTCTGTGTGTGTCCTTATAGGAGGAAGGTCATCGTCGCCAAGCAGAACTACCGCTGTGCTGGCTGTGGCACCAAAATTGACCCAGGTATGACCTGCAGTCGGACAAATGATAATACAGAAATGAAAATTAAACATTAAACTTTTTCTGACATTTATTTAACATCATCTTTAAACCATTATCTTTTGGTTATAAACGATAACTGATGCCTTATTTATGCAGTTTCTGTTCCAGAGACGCCACTCCGATTGTTTTGTAATTGTCTGATCTGGTAACATCATTTTAGCCCATTTAGTTTCCTCTTAAAAACGGCATCAGAGCAGCATTTAGAATACATTTATAGCGGAGCAGAAAGTAGACTCTATTCTCTCTGCACACATCCCTAAATTATGTAAAGATTTGCTTTTAAAACCTCTTGGACACTAGGCCTGTTTTCGAGAAATATGCTTGAAAATAACATGCCCAAAATGAATTGAATATATCTCAAGAACTACAGAGTTTATTTTAATTGTTTTGATATCAAAATAAAGGCAAGACCCCAGAGAATATGTTACAGGTCTTAAAACCTGTAACATATTCTTGGGGCGAGTGCTGAGGACCCAAATTTGGGTCCTCATGTTATGAAAAGCTTAAAAGGGTTCTTGTGAGGGACCAAACTTAAATAAGGACAAAAGGTGTTCAAAATTTGAAAAAGTTCTTCCATTTAATTGTGTAAAAAGAGTTAACAAAGGCTCAAAAGCAATACAAAATAACTTAAATACAGAATCTGGGCCCAACTTAACTGAGGTCAACTGAGGATCCAACTCAAACAGAAAACTGACCTCCAAACAAAGAACTAAAGGCTGCTTAAAAAGGGATGGAGTAACCCAAGTCGACAAAATGAGGGAGGCACAACATAACAAAAGAACCAATAAATACAAAATTAACCATTCTATGAAACAAATAAAGCAAAACTAACTTACTTAACAGAAACAATAAATGAGTATTTAAGTGACAAACTAATTTAAAACTTCTTGAAACAAGTCTCCCCCGTCAGTCTTTCAATGATGGTACGCTCCACATTTCCTTCTCCAGCTGGTTTGTATCAGCAGCACCTCAAACAAAAGACCAAGTGTAAATAAACATTCAGACAGACATTAACTAAAGTGTGCACCCATTAGAAAATACCTGTCTAAAATAACCAACTTAAACACAAATTGTAATATAATATAAAGCAAGAAAAGAAAATACTAACACGAAGTGGTGGTGGGAGGATCATCCACCACAGTTCTTATGGCTCAATTCTTCATCTGATTTATTTTATTTTGTCTTTTTTTTTTTTACATAACGCATTAGAGATTTGTTTTTTATTTCTGATCGCTGATTAAAGCCAATCAGCTTTTTTTTCGCTCTTATTCCATATTATAAAAAACAAACAAAAGCTTTTATGAGTTTGCAGATTAAACTGTTTGTTTTTCCGCTGTCTTCCTTCTCAGACTACATCAAGCGGCTACGTTATTGCGAATACCTCGGCCGTTACTTCTGCCAGTGCTGCCATGAGAACGCCCAGGTCATCGTTCCTGGCAGAGTGCTCAGGAAGTGGGACTTCAGCAAATACTATGTAAGCAACTTTGCCCGGGACCTGTTGAGCAAGATTACCGGGATCCTCTGTTCAACCCAAGTGACATCAACAGCGGCTTGTATAAGAAGATCAAATCTCTGGAGACTGTCAGGGTGAGTTCAGTGACATTTTCCAGTGCTGATGTTTACAAAGATTCAGGAGCTTCATGAACTTAAAGGAGACTTTTCTCGACTGCAAAACAAACTGGGAGAGGAGATGATTGCATCACCAAACTGTGAAACAACAAACTTGTGACTCGTTGCTGTTTGAGTAACAGGCGGGAATGAAAGAAGCCATTCAGTCGTTATCAGCTGCAGTTAAAATGATGGAAAAATCTATGAATGCTGAAATACCACCCAGCTTTACAGGGCAGCAGTGGGACTGAAAGATTCAACACATAAAAAGTACTTCTATTTTAATACTATTTTAATATTTTACAATGTCCTGATGACATTTTTTTTTTTATTTTAAATCACCACTAGTGTTGTAGGTTACACTTTCATCCATAAATAAGCTTTTAAGCAGCATTTATGTGATTCCCTAAGACTTATTTAGTAATTATGTTGAAATAGAAAACGAAAAATCTCCATTTAAAAAAAAAAGATTTATAATCTTAGGATGCAGGCATCATTAATGAATTATCTATGGATGTCAGAAGCAGTTACAGCCCCCCAGTCAGCTGACCAGATCTTATTTGAAGGAACTGAAGCAAAATTGGGACAAGGAGCCAGACTAACTTTGATGTTTTTACAGGGATTTCCATCAGCAGCTTTCAATGGTATCTAAACTTGTATTAGTTTTTCATTCAGTCGTTGTCCGCCTGATAGAATAAATTCTATGTTTGGGTACAATTTAGAAATAAGCAAGTTATGAACAAAGTCATGGTGAGGCCTGCAAAAATGTCTGCTTCTTTTTTGGAATTAGTTAAAATCTTATCAGCATCCTGACAACCAGAGAGCTGCATCATCCTTCATTTCAAATACTTTGGAAGGTTTTCAGCTGAAACATCTTTGGCTCAGGACGTTAGTAGCTGGAAGAATTAAGTTATGCCACAAAGATCCCCCATCATCCTTCTCTACACAATCTGCTTTGAATGTATTCCTGTTTATGTTAACTGGGAGTTCTAACATCTGCATCTAGCTTTAGCTTTAATATGCATGTGGAATAGGGATGGAACGGTTTATGAAAACCGTTCGGTTCGACTGTCTCGGTTCGATTCGAGTGTGTTGCTTTTGGTTCTTGCGCGGCTCCTTTTTCTCATAGGCGAAGCGTGTACACTCCAGAGCAGAAGGTGGCGGTACTGCGACCAAAGCCAACCACCAGTAGTAAACAAGAAGAAGAAGAAGCAAAGCAGTGTAGCCGGGTGTAGCAGAAAAAAATCAGTTGTTGTTGAGAATTGTGTGGGTATGGCGAGTGGGAAAGAACAGGAGTTGGACGACGCGCCAGCAGCACTTTATAGGTCTGCTGTATGGGACCACTTTGCATTTAGAGTGACCTACGATGACGGCGGAAGGAAAGTTGTGGAAAAAAGTGTACCGGTGTGCAAGCAGTGTGGAACACGTTTTGTTTATGCTAACAGCAACACGACCAACATGTCATGCTAACCCCGAAATCCCACATACTCCGTCAGCGCTCCGCTCCAGACCGCCCGCACAAAGCAAAGCCTACAGCCTCCGCTGTAGAGGGCATGCGCGAGATGATTGAATTCAAAGCAGCAAAACATGCGGAAATGATCCAGGGTTTCCGCGGATCATTAAAAATAATTACAATTCATTAATTTTGGTTTTTTTTTCATTAATTTCATTAATATTTATGGGATTTCCGGGTAAAGATCAAAATATACCGAACCGAAAACCGTGACCGGGAACTGAACCGCGGATTTTGTGAACCGTTCCACCCCTAATGTGAAATGCTAAAGGTTTGTTACACGTCAGAAAAGCACAGACATTATAGAACAGCTGTAGCTTCCCAGTTTTCAGCACTTCTTCAGCTTTATTGATTAAATAGTGATGTTACGCTGAGAATAGTCTCACCAGTTGTTTTAAATTGATCCTAAAGCGACAACCAACATATATTTCTGGAAAATCCTTTTTCAAATTTAGGGCCAGAGGATTTTGACCCCCAAAAAAAATCAAAATAAGGATTTCATTTAATTTTCTCTAACCCTAGGAATACAATTAATTGTATTCATGACCTTGTACAGAGCCCATTGACACAGGGTTTTACTATCACTGTTGTGTTCATGGGTCTTCATGCTACTCTGTTTCCATCTGAGTGGAATTTAACCCAATATAAGCATATAACTGCCAATTAGAGGGCTGTAATTAGAAAGTCTGTGTTAGTCTTATTAAATATAATGTGACCAGATTGATTGCCTGTGATAAAAACAAACATTTTGTTTAATTGCTATTATATCCCAAATGTAAATAATAGCCCATCCCTACTCAGAATGGCTCCTTACTGCCTGCATCTCCTCTGACTTCAGTCGTCCTTTAGTTTTGGTGGAAATGGCAAACATTGAGTTACCATCTTCAGTAAAGGCTTTCCCACTGAGTGATGTGGTTAACATCACTTTACTCTTCACTTACTGGGAAGCGGTTGGATTTTTAGATTTCCACCCATTTAATCCCTTTCTTCCATGTGTTATTTTTTCTCTGGATCACCTTTTTACTGACCTTTTTTTTCCCCCGTCAGGTTTTGAGGGTGCAGCTGTTTCACATGAAGAACCTCCTGAGGACCTGTCGGTTTGCCAAAGAGTATGTTCCTGGGTTGACATTTAGCAGAGCCTATGTGGGATGTGAACTGCTCACTGATTGGAGAATCACTGCTTTGCTTCTGCATCTTCCTTTAGGGTACTAGACCTTTTTGACAGCCTGCCTGGCCACCTGACCGAAGACCTTCATCTCTTCTCGCTCAACGATCTCTCTGCTGTTCGCAACGGAGAACTGGCTCCTCGAATGAAAGAGCTGCTGAAGCTTGGTACCGTGCATGTGGCCGGATGCGTGGTAAGACAGCGTCTGTTGGCTCTTTCACTTTATTTTGTCATCCAAAATGTGTTTTGATTTCTACAGTATGTCGTTTTTTTCCCCCTCTCTTTCCTCTCAGCTGTGTCAGGCAAAGGGTTTTGTGTGCGAGTTCTGCAACAACGACAAAGACATCATCTTCCCCTTCCAGCTGAGCAAGTGCCAGCGCTGCGAAGGTGAGCCACCCCCAAGACCCCAGTCCTCCCGCATTCCCTTTCAACTAAACTGGAGAGACTGGAAGATCCCGAATCCCCGTAGACTGGCGAGGGCGCTCTCCAGAGACAGGAGAGAAGGGGAGGGAGGGGAGGAGGGCTTGCATTTGGGGATAGATCAGGGGGTAAAGAGTGGGGAGCCGGAGGAACAGAGGGAGGAGCCTTGCGATCTTTCTAATAGCGTAGAGACCAATTGGCCCCTAAGTTCTGGAAATACTGCTAATCTAGTTCCCTGGATTACAGGAAATGAGGAGGAGGACGAGATGTCTGACAGAGAAGGTCAGGAAGAGAATGAACGTAAAGAAGGTGGAGATGAACCTGCAGGAAGGGAAAGAGTTAGTTTTTTAAAGGTTCTGCAGATAGACAGATTAAAGCAAAGGATCGCGAAGCGAGACAGAAGTGATCATGAAACATGCAGCAGCTTTGAGAGTTTGGATGAAGGAGGACAGGAGGGGACAGAATCCAATACGATGTCTGCAAAGACAAGTAAAGTAAAACATTTCTCAAAAGGCGGTGGCAAGGAGCGAGGGAGAGAATCGAAAAAGGAATCTGGAATGAAAGGGTTCCGAATAAGATCACTGGTAAAATCAAAAGAGGAAGAGAAAGCTCAGACAGAGGGAGTGAAAGCTGAAAAACATCCGGGCTTAAGGTTACTGAGGACACGTCAGCTAACAGGTGTGTTCAGCAAAAGCACAGAAGAGAAGGAAGAAGAGAGCTGTGAAAGTGACGGGAAAATGAATACTGACCGAGGGGGCACGGCGTGCGGAGCAGAGGCTAAGTGGAGAAATAGAAAAACCCGTAAAGCCAGGAGAGTCACAAAAGAGAGGAAGAGGAGGCAGAGCGGAGGGGAGGAAGGGGGGACAACAGAGACTGATGCTGACAATCGTTCTGAAGGAGCTGGGGGTCAAGAGTAGAAAGTAAAGCTGAGCGATATTCCTGAATCTGGACACGGTAATAAAACCCGCTTTAAGTAAAAATGCAGTTTTAATCATGAATTTTCTATATTGGAATACAAAACGATGACGATGGAAACCTGGAGGCATGGAAATGGATCCTGAGTTTTTGAATTTTCGTTTATTTATTTATTTTTTTTAAGTTTTAAAGTTATCTATTTGAAATTATTTGGGGTTTTTTTTGTAAAATTTTGTTGTATCTCTTTCCAATAGATATTTTTTTACAATATCAGCCCTTTTTGCAAAGATTATGTTGAGATGGTTCCATTATTTTCCTGTTCAATGCAAAGCTGCATCCTACTGCATGTTTATGTTGGGGAAATGCTTTTAAACTGGTCTGAAAGAAGCTTTGCAGCTACGGATATCCTGATGTAAAGGTTTGGCTTTTTGCTCCCAGTGTGAATGAGTCTATAAAGCCAAACGCAGCCTCTCTACACGACTTAATTAAAATTCTATTTGTAGGTTTATAACTGTAGGATCATCAGAATAGATCTACTTTATTGTGCATGTGCAATACTTGCCTCCCTTTACCAGGAATGTTCTGGACAGAGAATGTTTGAAGGATATATGCAATATGCTTAAATATATTGCTAACAAAGTTGTAAATGTATTATTATAAAAAAAACTCCTTCACCGAATGCAAATGTGAAAGGTTGTAGCTGCAAAATGGCAACATTTAATTTAGCATTATGTGCTCTACCTACGCCTATTAATACCAAGATCAATTGACTAATGAAACATAAAATTATATTTTACTGCTGTCATCACATTGGCCTGTACAAAAAATTGTTTTTTGCTAATTTATAAATGAAAAAACAAATACCTTAGATAATTTTGGTGAATTTTCACCCGATAGTCATGCAAACGTCCCATCATTGCATCCCTGATGGCTACAGTGTTCAATAAGCTCACATCTTGCTCCTGGGTGTGATGTTTTCATGCAAAACAGTCCGAAGCTAACGCTAACACTACCTGCTGTGATTCTGCCTGTACTGCTGATGTTTCACTCACCTCAGGATGCTGTTTGCTTAAAACTGAAACCAACTTCCTCCTTTAGGAAGAGCGTTGAAATTTCACAGGTCCTTTAATATTACATAAATGGCTGAAGATGATGTCAGAGCAGTTCCTTGATCCCAATACACATGCACTATACAATGTAGTGCATGCGCTGCCTTTTCTATCCTCACTCTTACAGGCTGTATGGGAGTCTTTCTCTTCTCTTCACTGGCTGTTTTCTGGGTTCCTGGTGTCGCTGTGCTGGTGTTGGTTTAGGCTCCTCATGTTGAACAGCTGGTGGCGGGCAGATGGTGGTAGATATCTCAGTTTTGACTCTAGAGGGTGTCGTTCTAGTGTTTTCCTCTTTTTGCCTTTGAGCCATTGCCTTATTTAGAAAAAGAATGCTGCTTGATGTTACACAGGGTGTGCATCATCCTTCCTATGTTTATGGTTTGGAAACCACTTTGGTCCTGAATTTCTTCAGAGTTAATTTCTCCCCGTGTTTGTCAGTGGAGGATTTAAGTTTGTTCACTAGCTTTGTTCCTTGGAGGACTTTTTTTTTGTAAATGTAGTTTTTATTTACCACCTGTTGTTGCACATTTTGACTTTTGCTGTTGGTTCGCTTTTGATGTTTGTAGGACTGTTGGAAATGATTATTTATGCCTTGTACAGTTGTGCCTCTTATTTATATTTTTAACTTCATTTGAGCATGAAATAAACATGTTTTAAATTCACTTTTGAGTTTTGTTCACTTTTGAGTTTTGTCATCAATAATGTTTTTCATCTGATCATGTCATGGGATGCTGCGCTGGGTGAGGCTGCTGGTAAATATCAGGACAAGTCTAAACAGGTTTCATGGTGCAGCTCTGAGAGTGCGATTTGCTTCCTCCCATCTGCCTCGCTGCCTTTTCTCCGGGCCTTTTATACTCTCTGCCCTCTCTCAGCTCTCCTTCTGATTGGCTCCTCTGCTTATGCAACATACACTATAGTTGGCAAACTGGTTAAACCTGTTTGCCGCTAAAGTGTTGCCTCTGCATGCCCTCTGAGGCGTGAATGCCTTCTTAATCATAAATGACAACCTTTCTTTTTTTCCCCCACCTCCTCCTTTTAGGGTGCCACGCCTGTTATCACCAAAACTGTTTCCGGACGGGTAAAGACTGCCCTCGGTGTCGGCGGCTGGCGGAACGCAGAGAGAGGATGGCGCGCAAAAACATGGAGGAGCAGGAGGATGAGGGAGGGGGGACCTAGCGCCGGCAGGGAGAGAACCTCAGGAAAGAAGAGGAGCACAAATCGACGATGATTGTAGACACTGACCTCCTTCTCGTCTCTCATTCCTCCCAGATCACCACAGGAAGCTATTTTTTTGACCAGATCGCAACATGGAAGTTAAGTTTAGAGACGTATATTTTCAAAATAAACCCTAAGATGTGCACTTTATTTGACTAATGCTTGAAAAGTATAGAAACCAATATGGAAAACTTAAGTAATGTCCACAATATAAGAATAAAATAATATTAATAATAATAAAAATAAAATAAGACCTTTAATACTAACACATTAAGCCTGTATTTGAACATTTAGTTGCAGCTTTTACTGCTGCTCAAACATCTAACTTGAGTTTAATCATTCTTGATCTAAAGACAAAGTTTTATGGTTATTATGTTTGTCTGTCTCCTCCTTTTTACCAGCTATCCTCAGCAGTGCTGAATCATTCCTGCACAGATAGACCAGCTCTGGATGAGATATCAAACCTGCTGCCTTGCACACTTACATGATGCTAATGATTTTTGCAGTTTTCTGTGCAACATGAGCCAAAGACCACCGTTAAAATGTCAGCACTTGTATGTTGTTATACTTCTCCCTCTTTATACAAACTTGTAGGATAAATATTTGAGTTTTTTTTTTTTGACACCTGTAATATTAGAATTATTTTATTTTTAAGAGTGACACTGGAAAATGAAAATTATAGGATTTATTTTTAGGATTTGACCAATAATTATTTGAATGATCTTGTCAGGTGCAGTTTTTTATTTTTTTTTATTTTGATATTTAAAAGATTCACCCCTCTGCTTTTTTTATTTTTATTTTTTTATATCCATGTTTCATATTTTTCTTGCCTTTTTTTGTGAGAAATGAAGATGTAATGGAAAAGATGTTGGAGTCTAAGCAAAGCCGAGTTTATTCTCAGTCAAACTGCTAATGATCAGTTGGTGTGTGCTGACTAACGTGGACTTTATACGAGTGCTGCTGAGATTATCTACCTGCTGTCCTTGCTGGCTTCTTTTGTTGCAGCTTAAAGATAACAGCGTCTTTGGTTTATTGCACTGATCCTGTGTTTCGGACAGTGGAGTTGATTCTTCAATGTTCTCCTTCTGTTTGTTTTAAAAGTATGAACCTTTGACTTGAAATGTTATTGCCCTTCATGATTTCATCTTCTAGTTTCATTCACAGTATTTCATACTTTAGCGCTCATTTAAAAGTCCCAAAGGATAAAGACATGCTGACTGGAGGTTAAGCAACTCCATTTGGTTAAAGATAATAGTTTAAGTAACTAAATGCTTTTTGTTTAACATCTTTTTTTGCTCTTCACAATAGGCATCTCATAAAAGGTTTTCAGATGCATCTTTTGTGCACCAATATAAATTACTTATTTTTTTTAAGTTTTCAATTTAAAAATGCTAATATGTCCCGTTATCTTAAATTTTCGAAACAAACATTTTGTTACCGGGTCAGTCTCCTTTTAACTCGGCTCTTTGATATGAACCCAGTCAATATTAATGCACTTACATTTTCAGTTTTTTGCAAAAAATCCCTTGAAGTCTTCAGTTAAAAGTTTTAAATAAGCCCCCCCAGCTCCTCTGATCAGCTTTGTCTTGGACCTGCCTTTTATTAAAGGAGTGAAGAGGTTTAAAGTGCACTACAGAGTTAAAATGTTTATTATTAAATGTAAGTTATTGTTATTCTTAACCCTGATTGCTTTGCATCTGTAATTATGTTCAATAAATGACTGGCAAGACTGTTAAACTGGTGATACTGAGTGGTTTTTGGGGAATTTTATTTATTTTATATTTTTATTCATAGTAATTCCATTTTGTTTTGTTTCTAATGATCTTTAAAAACAAATTCAGTCTAAAGTACAGCAGTCCATGGCTATATCTTATATTTGATGTCTGACTGCTTGGCTTTATTTTTTATTAAAGTACTTTAATAATCGTTTTAACATAAGACTAAAGTTGTACATTGTATTTAACTTTGATACACTGGGCAGCTTGTTTTGTTGACAATTGTGCCCTCTAGTGGTGGCAAAGGTACTTTTAAAGTATATTTCATTAATCTGACATGTAACATAATTCTGCATACAGATAAGTCATTCTTTACATATGTATTTATTTTTTGTTTTGTAATATGACTAATGTATTTCTTCTGAAATAAAGTGCTATAATTGTTTTTGGAGGGACCCCTATGCAGTCCTATTACTGCAGGAGAGAAACTGAAGGGGAACAAAACATTTGGGTGATGGTAAAGAGGCGTTCCTAATATAAAAAAAGGACCCTGCAGCTCATCACAGCAGATGAATAGTATGGATGAAAACAAAAAAAGTGATTTTTTTTTTTTTTTTGCCATTGATTTAGAATAAAATCTTTTTGACATGTCTATTTTTTTTTTCCAAATAAAGTTTTGAAACTTTTTTTTTCCTTTCCAAAATGGATTCTGCGGTATATATATATTTATTTTTTTTTTGAGAGAGATGGCAGTATTATGTTTCCTAATAAAAACAGACCTAGTGTGTAAAAAAATACAGTCAACAGAAATTAGCCACCTTAGGCTTTACTGTATACTTCTAAAAGTTTTTTTTTCCAACACTGATACTTCATACATTAAAAAAAAAAACAGACTGGAGGATATTTATGTAATTTTTGGCATTATCCTCTTTAGTGTGTTAACAGAAGAGTAAGTTGAAAGCAATCTTAACGGTAAAACATTTGCTTTAGTTAGTAATTCTTTAAGATAACAAAAAACAAGTACAGTGGATTAATCAGGACAAGCAACCATAGGTTAGCAGGAGGATTACACAAGTCCTAAAGTACTAGAAATGCTTCTTTGGATTCAGGTCTGAGTGGATCTATATCCTGTCCAACCTTCCCGTAAATAAGGAGCTGTGGTGGAAAGTTTTTGTAGTTAGATAATCCAGTATATTAAAGCATTGACTGCATGGAAACGCCAAGGATGTGTATTTAAGTCTCTATGCTTTAAAATTATGAGTCACAACAGGTCATCAAAGCAAGGCTGCCTTTTTTAATGTTTGTATTTTAGGCACAGACTCAGCTTCCTTCACTACTACCAGGCATTGGTTATGTGAAGCACAGTAACCTGAAAGATGTCTGGCAAAATGTCATCCTCCAAAAAAGAATCAAGTGCTAAATGTGGCTACTTGTAAAAAAAATGAAGTTTTATCTTTAAAATTTTTTTTTTTTTTTTGTCAAAATATGTTTATTTAATGGGCTGCTCAGTGGAGCAGTGGGTAGCACTGCTGCCTTGCAGCAAGAAGTTTCCAGGTTAGATTCCTGGCCCGGGGTCTTTCCTCCCACAGTCAAAAAACATGACTGTTAATTTCATTGGTTTCTCTAAATTCTCCTTAGGTGTGAGTGTGTGCATGAATGGTTGTTTATCCTGTTTGCCTCTTTGTTGCCCTGCGGTGGACTGGCAACCTGTCCAGGGTGAACCCCGCCTCTCGCCCATAGACAGCTAGAGATAGGCACCAGCACCCCTCGCGACCCCGCTTGGGATAAGCGTGTTGGAAAATGGATGGATGTTCATTTAATTTCTTTTCTCCAGGATTCAGTTTGTTGTTCGCCCGTAGTTAGAAAACAAGAGTTTGCTGCAGTGTTTGTAAAATTTTTCAGATAAAGAAATTAATTTAGTCTCATGTTTTCAAGTTTATCTGTGACTGCATCCGTTCATTAAACACTTTATTGCTTTTTTTCAGCATTTTAAGAATACTATTTCTAATGTACTGAAATAAAAAAGTACAGGAATCCACAGAGATACACAAAAACAGCACTAAAAATGGACATTTAAAATAGAAAATCTATAATTATTTTACATAAATTCATAAACATAGTTTTGGCATTATGCAGATACATTGAAACATTTAGTTGTGTTTTAGTGCTCCATAGAAGTATCAATGCTTCTACCTTATAAAATGGAGCTGAATTCTGTGCAACTTCACTTTAGTTAAAGGTATATTGGAGGATTTTCGCGAATTTTTGAAAAGACCCACCCTCTTCACTTGAAAAAAAAAAAAAAAAGCATATTTACAACCCCGTACCCGCGTCTGAGAGGGAACGCCTATTAAACGATGAGCATGTTTCTCCTCGTGCACGCTCTGTTTAAAAGTTCCTGTTAGCATTGCTCATACAAGCTTTCTTTCCAAAAGAAGATTTTTAATTTTTCCGCTATGTCAGACTCACCAACGGTAAGTGAAAACTGGGGAAAATCATGTTGGACGGCCTTACGAAAACACATCACCAGAATGATTGACAATTAGGAGGACCACTTATTTTGATGATCCACCCGGAAAAAGAACATCCTCCACTATACCTTTAAGCTGAAATATATTTTGATTTATTTTTAAAACTGGCCCCATCTCCCATACACTCTCAGTTCAAAAACAGAACTAACAAATGTTTATGTTTTTATTCCTTTAAACCTAAATCATGCAGTGTGTGTATCATTCCATGTCCAGATCACGATGACGGTGATGAAGCTCGTAACAATGAGGAGGATATAAAAGCAGAACAGCAGACGGTCTATTACTATTCCAATCATTTTCCATTCCTCAGCACTTTTGGATCCCTGGAAATGTTTGTCCACCTGGAGACGGATGGCTGTGAGATCTCTGGTCAGCTTCCTCAGCTCGTCGAGAGTCAGGTCTGGTGTGGCAGCAGGGGGGTTGGAGGCCACCACTGGCAGTGGATCCTTAAAGATACTCTGATCTCCCAAGACAGTTATTGAGTTCTTATCTGTTGTTGGATCTGCTGAAACAAGAAGATTTCTGATCATGAACCCCAAAAAGACAAATTATAAAATATTCTAAGGGCTAATGTTCACAACCATTTTTCACAAGTTAAGAAAATAATTATTTTTTGTAGAGAAAACCAAAAAACCAAAAAAAGAAAAAACTGTATTATGATTTTGAAACCAAAATATTACACTTTTTCATTTGGATTAAAGTGTTCTGCAATTTCTAAAGGGACTATTGTTTTGTGTGGAACATATAACCTGTCAGAGAAAGTCAACTAGAACTAGAACTTCAAATGAATTATAAAGTTAAGTCTTTAATGCTTCAAACAGTCTGACATAACTAATATACATCCACCTCAGACCAAAATTACATGTGCAATATATTATTTGAAAGCTAGAACCATCTAGTTTCTGAATATATAAATTTCATTTGGGTGAGTAGAATACAGAGTAAGCTGCATCGGTTCAAACATGACTCAAAGTTTGTTTTATTTATTCTCGGAAATGATAGGTCTTTTTTAAACAGCAGTAATAAAGACATTCTTGAAAAAAAAGCATGTTTTATTGTATTATATTTGTTCTACATCATGTCAACCACCAATGCAGACAATTTCAGACCTCTAGCTATAATAGATCCAGAGCTGTGGGGTTTGGGGATTTTGGTGTCATCTTGGAGCTGCGTGCAATGGCTCCCCCTGCTGGTGATCATTTTACTAGTGGAATTTTATGCATTCTGAATTATTACCCCTGCTTAAGGTTAGGGTTTTAAGAGGCTTAGTAGTTTTTTTGTTTTGTTTGTTTTTTTACTGTAACTGCTGAGTTTTATTATTACTATTATCCACTATTTAAGAATCACTGACATAAGTGAATACTTAAAATCCATGCATTTTGCCCTTACTCCATCACCTATGATTCATTGAGCATCATTGTTCTCATCATCCAGTAAGAAGTCTAACATGTTTCTTAAAAATGAGTTACCGTCTAATTTTAAACCAGAATCCTTTTCACTGTGCCTTAAATGCAAAAAACATGAAGGCAGCCATTCGCTGATCATGCCCCAACATCCAGATATATTAGGAATCTATTCTCTAGACTAGGAAAATTATTAAAACTAATATTTATCTCGATCCAGTGTCTCTTCTCCTTAGTCTACTTAATAAAAATATCCATGATTAAAACAAGAGTAAGTTGTATAACGTCCTAATTTTCTGTGCTCTTAATAATATTTTGTTACAATTAATTTCTAATATATTTCCTACTATTTTTGGGTGGAAGAATCTTATTTTGGAAGATATCGCTCCCGACTTTCTAACATGCCTCATTCACTCTAAGACTGACGCTTTTGGATGCATATGGAAGCCCTTTCATCCTGACATTTATTAATACTAAGATTTGGACTCTCTAATGATGGAAATATGTATGTCCCCTATCTTATGTTATCTTTTCGTCTCCTCTGGACTAAACGCTTCAGCTTGTGTTCTCTCTTATATTGTTGTAGCTATTGAACAAAAATGAATAAACATATCTATAAAAAATAAGTGATTTACCTTTGTAAGATGGATTGAGGTGGACTGTTACTCTGTTGCTCTTTTTTTTGGGAGGAATACATACGATGATTGCAAGATAACGTAATACCAGCACACTGAGCCAGTGGGGCACGTCACTGTACTGGCTGGAGCTGTGCTGGATGTTTGTGATGAAGACGGTTTCTAGAAGACTGGCCACCATCAGAGCCAGAGTGATGGAGAAAAACACATCTGAAGGGAAAACCAGAGCATCCGACAATAAACTGAGGTGTCAATCAGACTTTATTCAAGGAGTTGAATATATCCTGAGGTAAATACTCTATTTAAATTGAGGATACATTACACTTCTCTCTCTATGGTGGTACTCGTTTCTATTTAAGTCAGAATCTCATTTAGGAAATAATGTTTAGACCACAGCCAGACAAACATGCTGCTCATCTCGTGTACAGGATTCAAATTGTTGACCTGTTATGTTGATTCTAGAGGTGTGTCTTTTTAACGCAGAGTATGACTCAAGTTAGCAAAGTCCCAAACTATTTCCGCTAACTCGGAACTTCCAAATTATATTGAGTATTTCAATTTAATAAACATCTGATGCTTGTTGGTTTCTGTAGAAACATGGATGAGTGATGAATGTGAGCCAACAGTCTTCTCAACATTAAAAAAGGAAGATAAACTATATCTGAATAGAGAAACAGCCTAATGCTCCTCACCTTGAACTAGATTCTTTCTCTGTCTCCTTTTAGTAACCTTTACCCTCTCATTGCAGTTTTCTTATATCACTGCTTGTACTCTACTTATCCAATATCTATGAGTGTGTTTTGCAGCTGTAGCTGAAGTTCAAATTTTAAAGTTACAATTTAGTTGAACCGTCAGAAGAAATGTTGACACATCAAATCAGAGGTTTTACATACTGATCAGAGGTGTTCTTTGTCCTGGTACCGGGAGCAAGTCATTCATAATAAGAAGGAAGACGGTGTAGCCGAGGATCAGGGTCATCTTGAAGGATGATCGGTCTACACTTTCAGGAGGTAGCATGAAGCTGAAGAGATCCACAGCAACAAGGAAGCAGCTGGGTACCAAAAGATTCACCACATATAGGGTTGGTCTGCGCCGGAGGAACAGCTGTAGAAATACACAGAAAGGTTACTAAATCACAGGGAAGCTATACTGTAATAAATTATACCATACTTCACTACACTTTATGACTATAAACTACACAATACTATACCATGCTACAGTAAGCTACACTACACTGCACAACAATACATTATGCTTGACTACACTATACTATACTTTATTAAAGTAAACTATACTATACTATAATATACTTTAGTATATTATAATAAACTATAACATAATATATTAAACTAAACTATACTATATTAAAATATACTATATTATATTATATTAAACTACACTTTATTAAACTATAGTATACTACACTAAAATACACTGCGCTGCACAACACTACATTAAACTATTATAATTACACCACACACCATACCATACATACTATGCCATACTATACTAGACTAGACTAGACTAGACTAGACTAGACTAGACTATACTATACTATACTATACTATACTATACTATACTATACTATACTATACTATACTATACTATACTATACTATACTATACTATACTATACTATACTATACTTTACTAAAATAAAATATACAATACTATTCAATACTATACCATACCATACTATACTATACTATACCATTCTACAATAAACTATAAAATACTATACAATACTATACAACAATATACCATATTACAATAAAATACACAATGCTACACTATACTATACTATACTATACTATACTATACTATACTATACTATACTATACTATACTATACTATACTATACTATACTATACTATACTATACTATACTATACTATACTATACTATACTATACTATACTATACTATACTATACTATACTATATTATGCCTTACTAAACTACACATTTCTTTACTGTAGTGTGCTTAGCCAGGTAGTACTATACTATGCTATAGAATCTTTTATTGATATACCTATCTGTAATTATATATATTTTTTACAATAATAATAATAATAATGAATTTTATTTATCATGCACTTTACATTTGATTTCAAATCTCAAAGTGCTACAAAACAAGTTTAAAAGACCATAACATTAAAAACAGAGTAAAAAGACAGTCATTAAAATCAATACATTAAAAGGCATACGTAGCCTATTAAAAAAAATCTAAAATCAACAATTGTAGGAATTTCTAAAAAGGAAAGTTTTTAGTCCTTTCTTAAAACAATCCACCGTCTGTGGGGCCCTAAGGTGGTCTGGGAGGGCATTCCACAGACGGTGTACAATGCACTTGTACAAGTAAAATATTTGACACAAAGCTCAATCTAAATGCAATTAAACAAAAATGACATTTTAATCAGACGGGTGTCTCTTTTCAATATACATGTTACAAGAAGATGCATGTTATTGCTTAAAACTAATATAACTGCATTTTCAATACGCACACATTTTCATGCAATCACAACCATATTAGCTTATTATGTGAACAAATTCAAAAATGTAACTTACATTAAATATGACCTCAGAGTAAGATACGTTGTCTAATGTAAGGTTATGCTGAGTCATGGTTATTTTGGAAAGCTCCCATTCTCCGTTTGTCTTTAGCACAGCAATGGACTCATTGAAAATCTTTTCTGCTGTCGTGCCTGGAAACAGCTGTATGTCCGTGTCTTTAAAAATGTTTTCACAGGATTAGGGTCAGTCAGTTATCTAACTGATAAAAGTGACTACTTCTGCCACTCTCAACATGTACTGTGAATATATTGTTTTATTAAAAAGAAAAAGGTTTCTTTAAGATATGAATATAATAAAACAAAAAAGACATCACAGTTCAAACATTAGGCTTTTCAAACAGAAATGTTGTATATCAGTCTCACCGAAGTGTAAATATGATCCAAAAGTCAGCGAGCAATTCTGGACATCAAAGGGAAAAGTGTAGATTTCTAACTTGCAGGAGCTGACCACTCTGATAGGCCTATCATCGTAAACATCACCTGTATTGTATAAGTAAACATAAGGAGTCGTAGGAGATTTGTCTTCATTCATGCTGAAATGAGGAATAAAAGAAAGCAACAATTTACCAGTTGGAGATACATTAAAGATTTTTCTTACCATTTAAAAAACATTTATTTCTATTTTTTTCGCCTACACCGCTAAATTATCATTATAAAGGTTATAAATGAATAGATATTTATTGTTATACAAGGACATTTCTCTATAAACCAATCAATAAGAATAGTGTAGACCTACAACTCTGCAATATGCACATCTGGAATCCACAGTTTTTCCCGAGGCACAGATACTTTTTCTGCTCCACATGTCTCCTCATCCCAGCTGAGTCCTGCTATATTCCACTCCTATTTCAAAACAAAACAAAAACAAAAGTAAAACAAAACCTGATCTGCAATGGCACTACAAATCATAGGTCCATTTGCAAGTATTTATTTAAAATAACTTAAACATTTTTATTGAGAACCTCATTTGCCAACATTCTATTAAGAAAAAAAAAAAATCTATAAACACTGATTTGAATATTGTACAGATAAGTTCTTTTCTAAAAAAACACAAACAAAAACTGTAACTATACAGTCATATGTTTACATTACTGTTTTTCATCAGTGTTTTTATCACTGCTGTTAACCCTATCAAGGCTGCACTTTAAAACAATTAAATAGTCTTCTTAACGACATTTCTTTTTGTTTACAATTGTGTATACAGTCTAAGTCTTCTTACCAGGACCTCCCATAAGAAAGTTGATACTGTTTGAGATTTTTCATCCTGGAAAAAAACCAAAAAACATTTTAAATCATGATAAGCTGATTATGAATCAAAAATATGACCACTGATAGATGCCATTTAATCATTGAATCCAAAACAAAACAATCGTTTAGCATCCCAACGTTATTAACACCTCCTCTGCCATCGAAAACCCACCGATTTTCATTATCACCAAAAACATATTCGATGAAAAAAGTTGTTTTGACTCACCACTCCTAAAATCCCGACCACAGTGATGCCGACATTTATCCTGAGCACTTCTGAAAAGTTTTGTTTGGGGGGGATGAGTTTTCTGGGGAACAAGTGTTTATCAAGCTCTGCATACAGGGAGTCTGGGGTTGGACTGGTGCAGTTCAAAACTGCAACACGACCTTTGGAACAGAGACAGAAAACGAAAAGAAGACAAATTTAGAATGAATACAGTTCACTATCAGGTCATCTCCAAGAGAAATGAGCATAAAAGTGGTAAACACCATAAAAACAAAAACAAAATAAGAGCGTGTGGCGTAAACTTTCATAACATTTTGTGAGTTAAAAAAGTAAAAAAATATTCTCCTTACACTGGTTTATTAGTTTAAGATTAATAAGACCACATTAAAAATGGAAATATTACACAAAATGTCTTATAAAAGATATATTTAAAAATGTTTTTCCCTTACCATGAAACAGTGTGAAAAAGATGAGGATTTGTGCCAAATGTTTGATATGAAACATCCTCATAATTTTGTATCAAGTTCCTTCGATTGTGATGGTTGTAATTCTAAAAGGTAGCTCATCGAATGAAGGCACCTCTGCTCTCATCTCACTATTTCATCTCATACTTCCTCCAGCAGCTAATATTGACTTTTGGTAAGGTTAGTCGACTGAGACACTGGTGCATGACTTGAGCTCATTAGGTGCTTTTGTAGTTGCAAGCGGAGATGTTATGGTTGTGTTTGTATAAAGATACTGTTTGGATTTGCAACTGGTTCTTGAATCATTCCTGGGTCCCGTTGCGTGATATGAATCAACCACAAACTAACTCAAGTTGCACACTGCTTCCCTTTAATAAATAAATATACAAACTTGCAAAGTAAATATAAAACATGCAAAGTAGGCACAGTAGGATCTACACGAATACACCATCCTACAGGGATCACATTAATGCGCACATACAAAAAACAAAACAGGATTCTTATAGTGCTGATTTTTTATTTCATATTGCTATAATCAATGTCAATCAACAGCAAATAATAATAAATATGTTAACATGCCATTTATCTTTGACATTGTCAGTATTCCATAATGATGTTATGCATCCCATAAGTTTTGCTAAAATAGAGATTAAAACAAATAAATAAAGAGAGAATAAAGTCAACCATCTGTCAACCTGAATTTTCTGGTAGAAATATTTAAACAGTTGATTATGGAGGGAAAATGTGAACAAGATTTCAACCACAGAAAACTAGTTTAATAGTAATAATTCTTATAACATTAACGTGGCAACTATGAATGCACTGGACATATTCTAACTCAATAGTAAAAAAGAAAACATTTAAAAAACTTTAAGCTCTTCTTTTGCAAGCAAACAGGACAGAAAAATAGCTCAATAATAATATGAACCACATTCAGTTAAGATTGGCTAATCCAGATGCACCACATAGTAATGATGACCATGGCGTAGCAGCTGATCAGGAGCAAGTAGATACGAAAGAGCAGGAAGTCAAGGACGTATCCCACGTGACACCACTGGTCCAGCAGCTCGCTCTCCTTCTGCACAGACAGAAGATGTGCTCGGAGGTCCTTCAGGTACTGACAGATGAGCTGCAGCTCAGGGAGAGAAACTGTATCTAGAACAGAAGAAAGGAGATTCATATGATCCTTTTAATGCGGAAAGTAACATCCTATTAAATATTCACTCTTACATGACTCATAAGAGAAATATTCATTTTCTGTCAATTCCAAATAATTTTTTTTTAATAATTGACGACAGTAAAAGCACAAAAATAACTTTGTTTTTCTAATTACACTAAAATATATCAACATAAATGTGGTTTCTAACTGTACAAAAAGCAAAGACCTGTTCCTTTACTCTCTTTAGCTGATATCTTTAAATTCTTCTAACCTTCTAAAAGGTTTTGCCATCGACCTGAGCAAATTTCTCTTTCTCCTCACTTTCATCTGTGTAAACGGAGTGGTTCCTGCATCTATCCCCTGTTTCGAGTCATCCCATTTAACCCCAATTTATTTTCCAGTGATGTCATGAAGGGAGAAGCAGCTTGATTTTTCTACTCCATGGAAAGAACCTGAAACTACACCATCTTGCAAAATAAAAAAACATATTCTGCTGTTTTTTCAAGAATTACAAATATAAAAGAGGTCTACTATCAGAAAAGAAGTTGATAATAAAAATACATCAACCATAATGAAAGAAGTCTGCCAACATGCTAAAGACATTCCAGTTATGAATGAACATAGAGAAAACATGTACACAGTAGTTACAGAACTTACAAAAAACAGAGAAAAGAGGACACTGAATCTAAAAAAATACTCAAGTTACACCGTCCAGGGTTACAACATCATTAAAAGACATCATTGACTGAATGATAAAACTTGAACAAAAAAATAACGGAAACCAACAAAGAGTGAATGAAACTGAGGACCACCTGCTCTTCAAATGTTGTGTAATTACTAAACTCTCAGCTAAATGTGAGAAACTTGAGTAAAGATTGAGATTCAACAATCTATGCATTTAGAACATCAAAGGTAGAGAGAGAGAGATAGGCAGTACTTCAGCTGAGGGGGGATGAAGGGGGACGGCATCCCCCTTCTTAAAAAAATCTTTAAAATCATCTCTGTTAGGTTTATTCTTTATACATCAAACGATTCAAAGACATTGCATCAACACTGACCTTTCACTCAAAGGGGATAAACATTAGATTATTGGTCCAATTCTTGCCTATTTATCAGTTATCCAAAAAGATGTTACAATCTTTCCATATTTCTTTTTTTCAACGTTTTATTGTCAATACACTGTCAAAGGTAGGGAGAAACGAAATTAATACTGTGAATTTAACCGATCCCCTTGGGGAGCAGTGGGCTGCCATTGTGCGGCGCCCAGGGAGCAGTGTGGGGTTAAGGGTCTTTGCACAGGGACCAGAGTGGCAGTCTGTGGGCGTGGGGCATGAACTCAGAACCTCTGGATTCCAAACTCAATGCCCTTACCACTAGGCCACCCACTGCCTTCCGTGTCCATTAGGGATACAGGCCAATTGCTCTGTTTTACAGACCTCAAACTCCTGAGCAGTAAATTAGCTAAAAGGATCCAGAAAGATAATAAAAAGCTAATTTAACGTGATCAGATGGGGTTTACTCTAGGGTGACCAAACGTCTGTATTTCCCGGGACATATCCGTATTTCACGTCCTGTCCCGGGCGTCCCGGGTTTTTTTAGAAAGTGAGGAAATGTCCTGATTTCACTGCGCACGACGCTCCGTGTGACGTAATCCCTGAGCCGAGTCAGGGCGGGCAGCCCTGTTCTTAATCAGAGGCTCTGTTCGAAAACCTGGCCTGCATCCTCCAAGGACGCGGTCTACCTAGACTGGATCCTTCGAAGTCCTTGAAAATAAGGAGGCCGGAAGAGTTTTGGCTGTAAATTCGAACAGGTCCTCCCTTCGACGGGTTTTACCGCCGTATGCTCTGTTGCCTAGCAACCGTGAAAGTTGACACACAAAGCAGGAAAAGAATGAATACCGAGGTTTTCAAAACTGTTTGTTTATTTATTTATTTTTTTTAAAGTTAAAGTGAACAAAGACTACACTCACAAGAATCCAGAGTGGAATAAAGGTTCCAACCACCGGGAGCAGGAACAAATAAAATCAAATGTAATGATAGAAACCTTAGTCAGTTAAATAACATGCTGCTGTCATTTTACACATCTCTGATGTTGCTCCTATTTTCAAATATCCATTACTGTAAATATGTCCATAGCTGCATATTGGTTATTTATTCTCCAGTTTTATATTGTTAAAACACTTTACAGAATTGTATTTTTTATATTTTAACTATGTTATTCTTATACATTTTTCTAAGGTCCTCATTTGTGTGACCATTTTCAATAATCTTTCTGCTGCTGTAAATTTGCCCATTGTGGGACAATAAAGGGATTTTCCATTCTATTCTATAAAAGGGTTAGAAATATATAAGTAAATCTAAACAATGTATCTACAAAATGTATCTGCAAAATCTCTAATATTCAACAACAAAAAATACTTAGTTAAGCATATTGTGCAAAACAACAATAAAAAAATTAAACTCCTATCAGATTTATAGTCCCCACCCTGCAGATCTATTAGAATCTGTCCTTAAATTACAGCCAAACCCATTTACACAGTAACAGATAAAAACCTTTAGATAAACCAAACATTACCGCCACATATCTGACTCTATAACCATTAAAACAACTATTTTCATTCATTTCAGACGGAACTATTCACAGAGTTGTATTATATTAAACTGAACTTCCAATTTTCACCACTGTTCTGCGCCAAGTAACATTTCCTCTGATCACAGAGCAAGTCACGATGATGAGACATTTGTTCTTTCAATCAAAATACCCCCCCCCCCGCTCCAAGGTGTCCTGGTTTTCCCAAATGAAAATATGGTCACCCTAGTTTACTCCAAATTTGCACGGCGCTAACAACATAAGGACTACCTTATAAATGTCGAAACACAGGCCAAAGGAACCAATAAAGAATCAATGCTGATTAGTTTTCATGTTTGAAAGAGATGTATGTCAGGGAGACTGTCTTACTCTTTGCTCTAAATATTGAAACTTTAGTAGCATCAATTTGAAGGAACAAGGAAATCAAAGTCAATAGGGAAAAAAATTACAGGGAAGACAAACTTTCACTGTTTGCCCATGACATCCTGACACCACGTATTTATACTTCCGTATGTCCCTCCATCCAGCCATCCATCTATCTATCTATCTATCTATCTATCTATCTATCTATCTATCTATCTATCTATCTATCTATCTATCTATCTATCTATCTATCTATCTATCTATCTATCTATCTATCTATCTATCTATCTATCTATCTATCTATCTATCTATCTATCTATCTATCTATCTATCTATCTATCTATCTATCTATCTATCTATCTATCTATCTATCCATCATCCATCCATCCATCCATCCATCCATCCATCCATCCATCCATCCATCCATCCATCCATCCATCCATCCATCCATCCATCCATCCATCCATCCATCCATCCATCCATCCATCCATCTTCCATTTTCTGAGGATTGTCATAACTAAAATGAACATACTTCCTCATACAAATACCTGTATCTATATTTCCCATACTAAATAAATGGCTCATTAAATCTATTTGGTAAAACAATTGCCCAATAATTAAATTAAAATCTCTTATGCTGGTGAAGATTCTCAGTCATCCAGGTCCTAGTCATTCCAAAAAAGTTAAAAAACAACCCCCTTTACCAATCCAGCCCTAATTAGGTCAATGGTCTCATGAATTCATTGGAACAAGGTGACCTCCAGGGTATATTCCTCGCACTAACCCTTTAGTAAAACAAAATAAATGGTCAAAGGGTAAAATGGATAAAAATGGGTGAAGTCCACCATATTGGCATGGTCAAAGATTAAAAAGACATTAAACTTATTAAGCTTTTTATTTAGAGCTATATAAATTAACCATGGCTCTTCCTTTCTTTTTTCCTACTTCTGAGCAACTTGAACAAATATATAATCTCCTGACATATAACCTATACAAATATTTACAACTGAGACACTATTTACACAACATAAGGACTGGGATACTTTACAATAATTAGAGATGAGGATTGGGAGGAGATTATTCTGGATGAAATAAACTATCAAGTACTACAACTTTCAGAGAAATTGATTGGAAAATCAAAGTAAGGGTTCTTTAGGATGCTAAATGCTGGAGGGGGTGTGGACAAACTAGAGACTTTACCCATATATTGATGCGCTTTCTACAGCTATCACCTTATTGGAGAGTGATATAGAGTGAAATCATAGCATGTTTGGGCATCAAAATCTCCTTTGAACAATATTGGGAATATTTTAGATTAAATTCAGAGCCCAGTCTAAGTTTGATCTTTTAAAGATTATTCTTGTTTTTCAAAGAAAATGATCTCAGACTCCTGACTGAAGTCACAACCCCCTACAGTTTCTGTACAATTTCTGAATACAAACAAGCTAAATAATCTGGGCTTTGACACTGCCCAGGACTTTCCTTCTCTTAATTCCCAGAACATTTTTGCTGGGTTCACTGGTTTATTTTAGATTGCTTTCTTATTGCAGAGTCTATTTTTAGGGTAGGATGAGGGAACAGATGGTCCACCCCCCTTCTCATTGGAGTTGTTTTCCTGAAATTTATGTGGTTTAGGTTGGACTGTTTCATCTGTACCATTAAGACCAGTTTGTATAAAATCAAGCTTTAGAAGTAAACAATGGAAGCAATGAGGAAGCTAACATAAGGAGTCGGCATAAGCGTCGTTAGACCTATTTAAGGGTGGCTTCAGTCATCCTTTCTTTGGCATTAGCCACCCTATAATTATTTTGCGATTTAAAAAAAATATATTTTTTTTTCTGTATTTATTTTTTCCTGATATTTTCCCAAAACAAGTGCAGTAAAGCACCGAATAAAAGCCATAAAGAAGACAAGTTAATCTGAACAATCATAGGCGTAACTTCCTTAAGGACTGGTGTGGACATGTACCCACCAATCTTGACCGGTAGGGGGACAGTCCCCACCAATATTTCGTACACGTATTTTGCTTTCGGTGCTGTGTATATCTGATTAAAACCCCATTCATGCCGCTCCTCAGAAAGAAAATAAAAAAAGTTCTTCCCGCTGCTTACCGTCCACAAACCCCGACAAAAAACTCAGAAAAAAGAATCTGTTGCCTCTCGCTTTCTCCCATCACCCCCTCCACCCTCTCCCAATAACACCTGTCGCTTCCCTCCAAAAATGCTAACCCATTCAGGGACAGAAGTGGACTCAGACTTGCAGGTGAGAGGGACTTGTGGAAATATTAAGACCTAATTTTAGTCAGGAGAGACTTAAAGTAGTAAAAGAATAGAGAATAGTGTAAAAATAAGTTAATACCGTATTTAAAATATAACTGAACCGTTGGAAAAAAAACTCAAACCACTCTTTTCCGGCCCTGTTATGTCAGCTACACTAGAGTCCTGCAACGGGTCGGGTACCCGCGAAAAATACATTAAAAAAATAAACGGGTCGGGCGGATATTTTTTTAGTGCGGGCGGGTAGTTGGTGATTTTTTTTTATGCGTGTGTGTTGTTATGGACATCAGAAATGTAATAATAATCAGGCACTGGGTGCAGCGCAGCGTACAATAGCCTATGATGGGTTAACGGGTCGGGTTGCGGGTTAAATATCAACGGGTCGGGTCGGGTTCGAATTTGAATTGAAGATATCCGCGGGTGACGGGTGCGGGTTGGTAAAACTCGACCCATGCAGGTCTCTAAGCTACACTACATTCAGTATCGTTGCCATAGAAACAGACAACAGCGCCAATATATCAGAATTATACTAAAACACACGCAAATAAATTCCCACATAAAAAGCAGGACTTTCAGTCCATTACAGTTTTCTGTTCTTAGAGGGTTGTTTATTTTGCGTTTATTAAGTGATGGCTGTGGTATATTAGCTTTCACTGCTATAAGCTTTCGCAGCAGTGATTGATTAATTTAAACACCTGCTCTACTGATGGTCTATCGGAGTTGGTGTTTAGGTTGAACATAAAGAACACTTTTTATTTGAAGCTTCTTGTAGCTACTGTTTTAATCCCGGCTTTACTTAAAACTTTTTCCTGACTTTGATAGTGTTGCCCTTCAGTAGCAAGCACTGCGCCCCTTTTTCTTTTATATGTACACGTACATTTAAGATTTAGCGTGTTAAGTTGACAACTCATGAGCAAGCTGCTTTTTGCAATCTAGCAGGAAGGTAAGGATAGGATCTTGCAGGTGTGACGTCACTCTGCAGGGGGTCCAAAGATAAAAGATTTAAACAATTTTGGCATTGGAATTTCAGATTTAAGGGAGTTAGAAAGTTCACTTAGTAAAAGTGCAAATTATAAATCTGATTACCGATTACTTTTAAGCTGGTTGAACATACTGTGACAGACTGGTGACCTGTCCAGGGTGATCCCACCTCTCACCCAGAACGTGGCTGGAGATATGCACCAGAACCTCCTGATCCCACTGAGGGATAAGGTTAAAGAAAATGGATGGTTGAACATAGTCCGCTCTCCAAGATTCTATCAAATGAGTATTGATACCCTGCTGGTGGATGTTCTTGACAGAAAGACGGAGTTGCTTAATCATATTCTGCTTAAGGCCCCATAAGATCTTGTCCGAGTCCTGGTTTAAAAGTAAATTAATTTTAAAAAGTGACCCAAAATTGACTGTCAATAAATGTTCTACAAAATTGATATATTTATTTGATTTCTTTGATTTGTACTGTCTGTTTAGATTTATGTGATATTTTTTGCACAAAATATATAAGTGAATATTGTAACAGTTATGTTTTCAACTGTAAGCATTAAATTTATAAATGTTATTCTCATTTTTTTGGCTTTATCCTTTCCAACAAAAAAAAAAAAGGCGTCGCGCAGCTAGCTCCCTTTCCTTATGAGCCGTCCCCACCAACTTTCAACACAAAGTTACACCCTTGTCTTAGACAACGCCTTAGCAGGTGCACTGAAAAAATTCCGGCGCGCGCGCTAGGCGCGCGCAATATCTTCTAGGGGCTGAGCCACCCTTTTCTCTTAAACCTAGAGACGCCCCTGGGAGTCGGTGTTGACAGTTGACAGTATTTCCTGTTTCTACTTCACCTCTGAAAGGTCAGAATTGCAAAAAGATTCAGATGAGAGAGGATGTCTTGTTAACTCCGCCCACAATGTCTACCATCAACATCCTGTGTTAAATGGGGAAAAGTTCCTGTGTTTTGCAGACCTCATTCATTCATATGCCTCATCCAGATGCTCTGCTAAACTGATGTCTGCAAACAGTTTTGAGGAAAATTCTTGATCCTAACACTTACCTGGTTTAAGGGACATACTATCAATAAACTTTCTCTAATGCTACATTCACACTGTATGTGCTGTGGGCAGAAGAAGTAGCAATTTTAAGTGCAAAGTCAATGGTTAAATCAAATCAAAGTGCATCAAAAGGTCCTGCAGCGTGTTTCGAGCAGCAGGACCAGCGCACCTTGATGCATCTGAGCAGCTGAAGCAGCGCCTCATAAATGTGATTCACAGGCAGCAGCTGCTGGAGTTGGAAAATTAAACTTTTGCTGCTTGACGCGCCACATCAACCAGACAGACACAGCACTGCTGATGCACATTGCTATGATCGCTCCTCTGAGACCGTTTATTAACGCCTAAATTAAATTAAAATGTAGAAACCTTTCAGCAAAATATGCTCGCTGTAATAATAATGGTGCTTTCAGTTTGTGTTACGTATGTGAAATGTTAACATCTACTTCCAGCCGCCACGAACATTAGGGGAAAATACCCCCAAGATGTGAAAGGGCCTGAGGCAGCTGCTGTTGGGAATTACTAGTGACGGCACGAATTACACTGCAGCAAAATAATATTTTAAGGATCGTAATCTTGATGAACTGACTGCACAGAGGATTTTTGAGGTGGACTTTTCTTAAAAATATATTAAAACTACATTTTAGCTGCTGGTGACAGCAAAGCCGCTCTTTGCCACTGAAAACAGGAGCAGCAGAAGCATTAGATGCATCTGGACACACTTTATTGGACACTTCAGGGGATCAAAGATGTTCTTAACGCACGCCTGACCTTAATGTTGTACAAGCATTAAAGATTAAGCAGAAGGAGCTGTTTTTGCTGCTGAAGTTGCACATAGTGTGAATATAGCATAATGGGGCCAAAGGGACAGCTTCCATGAAAAAATATGACAGAGGTAGATATAAATTCCATGACTGATTACCTGCATTGGTGGCTGTATGCCTGTCGGCAGCTTGGTTGACCGGCTGGATCACCCAAGCTTCTGTGCCACAGCTTGAGCTTCCAGGTTTATCCTCCTGTGCTTTATGACTTGGACGAACATCGTCGGGCCAGCGGTAGCAGATCAGGTTGGCTATATGCTTAAGGACAACAACTCTAACCCAGTTTGGAACTTCCTGGTACTTCATGGAGCTGTGATGGAGGACATTGGTAATGATGACTGTCTCCAGGAGGCTGATGACCATGAGAGCCAGACACACAGAGAAATAGATACCTGATGGAGAACAACAAGTAACATGTTAATATAATACATTTTATTGCAGTTAATTTTTTTTTTGGTAAAGAACTTATTTCTCAACATTGTGTTCTGACCAGAGCATGTGAACGGAGCTGAGCGTCACACAATTCCCGCTCCCCGCTCAGGAGGATGTTTGCTTATTTGGTTCGCCGCTCAAAGTTTCGCCTGGACGCTCAAAATCCGCTCAGTGCACACTCTGGCGAAATCGCTCCTTGCTCGCTTAAATTTTAAGGAGAAGGTATTTTCTGACATTTTTCCTTGAAATAATTATGCAAGGGCCCTGGGACACACTGCGTTTAATTTAATGATGTGACCGATACATGTGTATTGTCATATTTAACTGGCTGTTAAATTATCGCACTGTTTCCTAGCTGTGAATGTAACACCTTGTTCCTTTCATGTTGTACCGCTATTCCTATTTAATTATCAATTTATTTTACTAGGCTACATTAAAAAAGCTCACTTCGCATTCCATTGCAAATGAGATAATAGCGTCTAATGCATGTATGTGATCCATTTTCAAGATCAGGCTTTTACTTTATGTAAACCCACTCTGTATTGTAATGTATAGTTAGTGTATGTTTTGATATTCTATTCCACTTTTTATCACACTTAACAAATAACAAATAAATGTTATTTTAAAAATTCTATAATCCAACTTTTTAAATTGAAGTTGTGAGCCTATTGGTGTTAGGAATCCAGTTTGTGTGGGTTGTGTTTTTGTGTTTTTCTCTCCCTCCACCACCAGGTGGAGCCCTGTTCTCGTTGGTCCTCCCACACACTTGCGGCTGGTTGGCTCATTACTGAGGACTATTTGAGCGGTGGACTGTCACTACCATGGCGCCAGAGTGTTTTCCAGTTTCGGGTACTCTAGCCAAGCTGAGTTTAGCTGAGTCTAACCAAGTCTTTGTTTTTTCACTGAGCCTAACCTTGTTTTCGGCAGGAAGCCTTCCTGCAAGCTGGATGTTTGGCCTTCTTCCCCTGGAAGGATTGTTTGAGTCTCACATTGAGCAGGGGATTATCCTCCACAATTTCCGTTCAAGTCCTCCTGGATTTCCAAGTGACAGTCCGTTCAATAGCTCCTCAGGATCCAACCAAGTCTAAACCTGTCCGCCCTCCAATGAGTCTCTACCTCTGGATAAACCCACACTTACTGGATTCTGGGAGGAAAGTCTTCTCCACTAACGTGAGTCTCGTTTTCTCTGTCTCTCCTGCCATTGCTCAAAGTTCCCACAGATCCTGAACTAACCGGTGATACTTCCCTTCCCTCTTCCAGTTCCAGTTCACTAGCACACTGAGTTTCCTGAATCCAACCCCCGCTGACTTTATCAATAAACCTGTTTAAACTTTTACCCTGGTTCTCTGGGTGGTTTACTGCATGTGGGTCAGATCTCTTAAGACAATCATGACAATTGGAGCCATATTTCCACCATATTTCCTCTGCTCCGCTCACATGCTCTGGTCCTCATAGAGATGATGTCTGACCTATGATGGGAGTCCCATTGGCTGTGCTGGGCAGCAGATCATTCATGATGAGCAGGAAAACAGTGTAACCCAGGATCAGGGTCATTTTGAAGGAGGCTCGGTCCACACTATGGGGGGGCAGGTAGAATGACAGGATGTCTATGAGCATGAGGAAGGAGCTCGGGATCAGGAGATTAACCACATAGAGCACTGGACGCCGCTTTATGACCACCTAGTGAACAATAGAAAATGATTCAGGTTAAAACATGCTACTGGATTTATTTATTCATGTCTCTACCCTTTAGTTTTGGTTTCACCTTACTGTTTTTTTTTTTACTCTCAAATTTATGGCCTGTGTCTTTTAGCATGTTTCTTTCAAGCTAATGCTGGAGAAATATTTATTAAAATTTCCCTAATTCGACTAGACTGGAACCGACCACTGGCTGCTAGATATTTTCTCCTATCCCTGACATTCAGCAACATTATTTGTACTTTCAATTTACTTTACTTTATTTTTGTTACATTACAACCCCGACAGTTCATCGATTTGATTGAAGTTTCATTAAAATTATAGCTTTAATACAAAAATCTGACAAAAGTGGCAAGTCTTTCCATTAACAGTTAAGCAGAGAAAAGTTCAGCTAACATATATAAAAAATTCAAATTCTAATAGATCAACCCTAAAGTTGCCCCATTATCTTTTGTTTCTACATTTAAAGCCTTTAAACTCAGTAAAAATTTGTTTCTCAAACCCAAAAGGTGATGATGTCCCACTCGTCAATCCCAAACCGCAGAATGGACGTCTCCCCCAATAAGTCCACCAGCTCCCACTCTCCACTGGCTTCCAGGTATTGCTTTGAGTTTTCTGACATCTCACTGAAAGTCAGAGCTGGACTGAGTCTCACATCACGTACTGTGAACAAGAAGAGTGCGACGAAAAGTGCTTCAAAGTACCAGAAGTTTATACACAAGTTTATACAAGACAAACTTTATTTGCTGAAACCTTTAATCACTAGGTTTGTTCATTTTCTTTTCTGTTTAATTTTTCATTGTTATTATTCAATGCTGAGCTCTTATCTGAGTGAGCAGACAGCTTAGCTGTTAATCTGTGAGAAAGCTAAAATAGCAACAAATGCGTTTCTTACTTGTATGCATGTAAGAGCCAAATGTAAATGTGCAGTTCTGCACATCGAAAGGAAAACTGAAAATCTCCAGGTTGCAGGCTGAGACAAGCCGCAGCATCCTGTCCCAGCGAATGTGTCCTGTGTGGTTCACGTAGACATAAGGACACGCTTGGGAGACATCATCGTCCACACTTGGGCAGGAAAGAGATGAAACAATTACGACTAAAAGTGTTTAGTATATTAAAGGATCACTGAAGCATGTTTACATTGAGAATTAGCAGACATATTTCCCAGGACACATATTTACGCATAGTCCCTGCATGTCTACTTGCTGGTGTTTTTTTTGTCTGATCTTGACATCTTTACAAAGAAGTGCATTAATCCTTTAAAGCCTGGAAAAGTTCTCATAAAACATAAGCTGAAATAATCCTCAGAACAGTGATGAGTCTGTAGCACTCTGACGATTTCTTATTTGTTTTTAAAAGACTGTTAGAGTTTCAAATTGTAAACAGGTTTGAATAATTCAGATTTGCCTTTAGGGTTTTAATTGGTCCATGCTCTAACAGTTGCTCTAATATGAAGTGTAATTTACTGTTTTCCATGCCCTTCATTGGGAATATTTTTTTCTTCCAGTTGATGCAAGGAAGAAAAAAAGAGATTTGCATGTTCAGCATCTGCTTCACTGATAATGCCACCTATGAAATAAATTATTTTAGCCTGCTAGTGATGGAAGCACATCAGTAACCTACTAATATAGATTTGTTACATTCGGCAGAAAATAAAATGAACAGAATTTCAGTAAAGAGAAAGGGAAAGGGAACACTGATTTAGTAGTTTAAGAGGGACCCTCATACTGAGACTGGTTCTGGTTTATTTCTGTTGAAATACTGTCTTTACTCTCCGACATTATTAATTGCTTTTGTAAATTGTAAATTATTATAATTAGACTGAATTCTATAATGTGATATTTGATGTGATTGTAAACATAAGATTGCCTTGTATTGGTATAAACTGGAAAGATCTAAACTGTCAAATTTTATTCTAGATAACTCAATATGAACTGGACCTGTCTCATATTGCTTGTTTTTCCTATTTGTTCTTAATGAAGCCAAACTGAACCAGAATCAGAATAATTTTAGCCTTATTTTATGGGTGACATGTTGCACCCTTTCTCCACTCTAACAACTCTGTAAGTTGATGCTGTCCCAATAAACACACTCAAATGTGCATTAAACCAGCAAATGTTTGTTACACTTAAAGCAGGGAATTCAAGAGCACTTTATGATCAAGGTAAAACTGACAAATTGAAGGGGAAAAAATGCTTAATAAATGAAAAAATATTTTATATCAATTCAGAAAAGAGCATAATCTGTTAAATTATAATTGTCTGCAGAGCTATGGTAATGTTGCTACATGCTACAACGATCTAATTCGATGGATGGATGGAAATGTCACAAAGAATTGTCAGCATTCTTATTAGGGAAAGGTACTATTTAATTTAGTTTCCATCTAAATAGAGAAGTCCCATACATATTTATAAAATGGCAGATGATTCATTAACCATAGAAAAATAGATAACTCACAACTCGTAAACAATGATGTCTGGAGACCACAGCTCCTTTACAGGGAGAGAAATCCTAGTGACACCATCGCATTTCTCCGGCTCCCAAACCAGATACTCATTGTGCCAGAACTGCAGCCATGAACACAAAACGTAGCACAGATAAACTTCCCTATCTGTGTAAACTGGAATATCTTTGCCTCATGAAACTCACCAGTCTGAGCCACAGAAATGTAGTCAGTATCTGAGCTTTTTCATTCTGAAATGCAGAAAATAACAATGGTATACAATACATGAATAACATAACATAAATGATCAAGGTAGCACACATTAGAATATGGATTAGGATAGTCATGGCATGCATACATTTATTTAGAAGTAGAAACTCACCACTCCGAGGATGGCATAAAGGGTGAAGGAGATGTTGGCAATGGTGGGGTTACTGAGGTTTACAGCTGGCCTGAAGGGTTGCAGGTCAAACACGGCTTTCACAGATTGATGTGTCGGACCGCTCTGGCCCTCCTTACAAACCAGTTTCCCATGGCATGTGGACGCTTTCAAAGAACAGTTAAAAGTTTCTATAATATGTGCATACTATAAAAACTTTGAATCGTATATTTTTTAGAGCTATAGTGAAAGACTATAAACTCAGGCAGAGTTATCTGAATTACAATCAAGCTTTGAACATATACAATTTTACTTGATATATATAACAAGGCAACTGATCCTTTTACCTAAAGGCAGATATAGATAAATAAAATTCCCCTATAGTGACAATAGTGACTTTTTCCTCTAATCATCAGAAAATGTTCAGATTTGAAATGTAACATCATATTTTGAACTGAAAATAAAGAAACAATTCAGCAAAAACACAATGGACCCCTTTACAATTAGTTTAATACCACTGGATAGAAAAAAAAACTTCAGGCAACAAATGTGAAAGAAGGTTTGATTACCTGCCAGTAAGAGCAACCCTAAGATGAAGCTGAGCCCCTGCTGAAACCAAGTCATGCTGTGCTGCAAGACGCATGGAATATTCTGCACAATCACTGGTTTAATGTTGTCCACTGAAAAGGCTCCTTGTTTTTTTACTTAGAGCTACATCACTGCAGATAATAAATCTTCTGTGACTGACTAACAATATAGTCACATGTACAATGTGAGGGTTAATTCACAACCACATATAAATGGAAAACCCCATGATGGACCAACAACATAACAAAGAGAAAAATAAATTGTTATTTCACACTCCCAATGAGCGCTCATCCATTTTGTTTTTTAGCACCTCCACCTGCAGGTGGTTGCATCCTGTTCCAATGCTTAATAAATTATTTGTGTGTATCTGTAATTTCATATTGACTTTAAAAAATAACCTGGATCCTCATTGTTTAATTTTTATGATAATGTCTGTTCTCGTGATCATCAAAAGCTCTAATATGAAGGAGTTAAGAAGGAATAACATGCTGCAGACTTTTGCATGCAGATGCTTCGATCTAAACCATGCCATTGTAGCTCTGGCCATAATGATGATATGATATAATGATAATGATGTTTAGGGCATGAGGCTCTGCCCCAACATCAAGTATTTTGCAACCTAGAACAGGGTTACCTTTTATGGATTCTGAATGCCAGGCTCTGAGGAGACCTTAGCATCCCACAGCATCATACCACCACCACTAAGGGGATTCTATGCAAGTATTAACTCAAATTAACTTTTTTCAGATGTAACTGCTTACATAATCTCTTTCACCAGTATGATCTATTACTGTGTTGACTTATTTTAGATTACATTAAAATTTGTGTATTAAATAAAACAATACATTTCTTTAGTGATGAAAGAGCACTGTGTAAGGGTTTTAACTATATCCTTTATGTAATTAATATTTTAGACTTAGTGATCTTTTTGTCTAGAGCCGTGACATTACACTGGATTTTTGCACAGGATGGACCGAAGGTTCAGGATAAATTTAAAAAAATTCTCTATCATGTGGCATTCTTTACGGTTGAAGTTGTTGAACCTTTTCTTTTTCTGCACATCTGCTCTCTATTTAGGAAATGCATAGGTTTAAACTAAGTTAAAGCTAAAAGGTTTGTGGGTTCCTAGCTGTTTTTATTCCATTTTTCTATTCACCTCTGTGGTCTGTTTTTATATTTATTTTTGGTCTCATATATGGCAATTAGGTAATAATTGTTATAAATAATTTTTGTATTTTATATTATTTTGTATTACTTTTGTATCTCTGCTTCTGTCTCCTTGAACCCCGGTCAAGTGTGAGCGCCCATCTGCCAAGGCAAGCAGATGTCCACTGACACTGAGCCTGGTTCTGCTGGAGGTTTCTTCCTCTTAAGAGGAAGCTTTTGCTCTCCACTGTCGCTACAAGCATGCTTAGTGTGAGGGATTGCTTTGAGTCAATGAGTCGATGTAGTCAACTGGTTTTCCTTAAATAGAAACTTTGAATCAATTTGACTGGATGATCTGGTTGAACTGTAACGTGCCTTTAAATGACGTTTTGTGAAATGACGCTATATGAAATAGTGTTGCACTGATGCCACTACCAGTATCGGACCCTGATCCAGCACTAAAATGGTGGTATCGGTATTGGCGAGTACCAACAAATAGGGCACCGATACCATTTTGAGAGCCAAAAGTTTATTTTACCATTGTCACCCATTCCAGGTAGGGAATAAAAAGTTCTACTAGATTCACTTTGTATTAGTCTTCTTCCTGCTTCACAAAGCTAGGCAGCAGCTTGACAAAGCCCTGATGGCAATTATTTTACATCCAAGTAGTATGCAGTTCTTCATATGTACACACACATATCAATTTTAAACAGATGGTATTGGTATTGGCCAATACTGCCAGGTATCGGGTTTGTGGGCCAAAAATTGGCACTGGCGCAACACTAATATAAATAAACGGAATTGAATCGAATTGAATAATTTTACACATTTTAGTCAGATCCAGGCTGTTCATGACATCCCTAACAATTCTGTTTTAGAAAATCAACAATGTGGAGTTTATTGACATGTTTAGGAATAAAGTAAACCATAATACAAATCTTTTGGCAGTATTTATTGAATTTATTTCAGATTTACACATATTAACTTTCTCAATTACAACAACACTTTAAAATCTAGCATAGGTGAAAAGATTGACCAAAAATATAAAGAATTTCAAGTCTGGAGAAGGAGAGGCTGGTTGATGGATTGTGCAACTAAATGAGTTTGTTTGCTCTAAAAAAAGTTGATTGACTTCTGAAGCAAAAAACACCAAAGGCGTTAAAGAAAATGATATATTTCATAAATTTGCTGCAATTTAAAGTCAAAGTTATACTGAGTTATATGAGGTGACCCAGATAATGATGATAGAAATAAAGCTGACTGTGATGAAGAAGATGTAGAAGATGAAGAGCAGACGGTCGATGACCAGGCCAATCTGGATCCACTCCTCTGAGCTCGGACTTCCCTTCAGCTGTAGAATCACATGATGGTGGATGGCCTGGAGATCCCTGCTCAGGTTCTTCAGAACCTGCAGGGTCTCATGCTCCTTTTGCGTCCCCTTTCTCTCAATGGTGTCATTCTCTTTTGACACTGGAGAGAAATTTTCTATCCCAGAGGAAGGAAATGAAAACTATGAATTCAAACAGAGTAAATTTCATCATTTTAGAGACTAATATCAGACGTTGGATCTGTAGCTAACCTTGTGCATCAGGATTCTTTATCACCAGATCTTTTTCAGGTTCAGGCTTGGGTGGAATCCCTGCAAAACGTCCCAGGAAGTTAAGAATAAACCCCTTGATCCAGCGAGGAGGTGGAGTGTAGTGAGCCGAGCCCCGCTGAAGATTGGTGATGAAGATGGTCTCCATGAGACTTGTAACCATCAGGGTCAGGCAGAGAGACAGAAACACATCTGGAATAATAAAGAATAACCTTTGGAAATGTTGTTTTACAGAAAACAAACAAATTAGAGACAATGTGCTCCCACTGAAATCAAATACATTTTAATATAACAGCTAGATTGCTAGAGTTACTTCAAATATTCAGCATGTTATTCAAAAAAAGTAAAAAAAAAAACCCAATCCACTGGACTTTATTTTCAGCTTGAAGACGTTTCGCTTCCCATCCAGGAAGGTTTTTCAATTAAAAATGTCAATAATAGCGTTGAGTTCAAGCTTGATTATGACTATGACATGGATGACTAGCATATTCAGCATGTTGAAGTTATAAACATTCATGTTTGAAGAAAGACTGTCAGCATTGTGTTGACATTAATATACAGTCATTTCTGCAACATTTGAGTGGAAATGTGCTTAATGTCAATGTTACATTCATGTAAATACATAGCATTTGAAAGTTACACGTTTTAAAGTTGAATAATTTTGTAAAAAGGATAGTGCTGGGGGGCATTAGTCAGAAGTGTTTTGGACGAGACATCATTTTATTTTCACAGCCTAAAAAACCTTTAGGATTTCAATTAGAAAGGTTATCAAAAAAAGTAAGCGTGTGAACATTTTATTTAATGGAATAGCTTTTGCAAAACAAGTTGATTGTTGGGCTGCTCAATGGGGCAGTGGGTAGCGCTGAAAATACGCTTTAGGTTACTCTGCATTTAACCCATCCCCTTGGGAAGCAGTGGGCTGCCTTCATGGAGGAATCGGGGGTTAAGGGTTTTGCTCAGAGAGCGACAGTGGGTTTCAAACTCACAACTTTAGGATTCCAAGCTCTATGCCCTAACCACTAGGCCATCACTTCCCCGCTGGACAAGAAGATCTGCAGAGCATTGGTCCATAAAAAACTGTCCTCACAAACAGTGTGAGTGCACCTGAGATAAAATAATAAGTCGACTTTTTGCTTAGATTAGGAAAGCATCCTCAGTTAAAAAGAGGAGACCTCAAGACAAGGATGACTTTTCTTCTTTCAAAGATATCGATAAAATATTTGACAGCTTAGGTTAAAAGCACTTTTCCCAAAATGTTAAGAGAATATGAATATCAGTAGCCTCATGAGACCATCCTGATCTCGCGAGCTTTCAAGGTTTCACTCGCAGATCAGTCTGGAGACTCTCGTTAAAAAAAATTTGGAGCCGTTCACCAAACGAACGTCCAATCAGCGTTGGCTTTGAGGCGGGTTGAGGTGTGACGCAACGAGAAGCGTGACAGTTCAGTCTAAAGAACATGGCGGCTTCAGCCGATAAAACTTGCTCGATAGCCACGCTGATGCTAGTATTTCTTCACTGAAAGAGGTGAAGAACTTTTTCTCAGAGAAAAAGATGTTTTTGCTCTTCTCCCGACTGATTTCGGCAAGAGTTAGTCTGGCTTGTGTTTGTGTTTTCGTCGTCGCTCTGTTAGTACGTCATATGCTTCGTTGATCTGATTGGTTTATTTGGCCCGTCTATCACCAACATAGGCCAATCAGCTAACCAGTATTTTCGCCCCTTCTCAAAATTACTTCAATGGAAGGTTTCCAGACGGATATGCGGAGCAAATCCATCTGGCGGAGTCAGGTTAAAATATCTGTACATTAACATAACTATGTTCTACATTTATTATACTAGGGAATATCAACAGAGCTTTGGAGAACTGACTGATAAGAGGTATGGTGTTTCCAGTGATAGGAAGCAGGTCATTGGTGCTGAGCAGGAAGACAGTGTAGCCCAGAACCAGAGTCATCTTGAACAAGGACCGGTCAACGTTTTGAACAGGCAACATGAAGCTGAAGAGATCCACAGTAATGAGGAAACAGCTGGGGATCAGAAGGTTCACCACATACATGGTAGAGTGGCGCTTCACAGCAACCTGCAGCAGAAGATCGCAGGTCAGCGGATAACGAAAAATATAAAAAAAACCCTTAATCAAACTTTCATATTGCAAATGCAGAATTATTCATTTGTTTAGTATCCTGTTCTTTAAGTAGCTTGTTTGATAAAAGCGAAAAAGATAATATGATCCCAATAATTTAACCTTCCCAATAAGCAGTTTATGGTTCAGGAATATTTACAAATAAAAATAAATTTTAATTGAGATATTAAAGTATATTCATTTTAAAGTTACTTTCACTAGGAGGTGGAAAATTCCTTTCGATTAAACTGAAATGTAAGCTTTTCTGTAAATGTTCCTGAATTTCACAGCTAGTTTGTAAATAATTACCAAACAACCATAAATTATTCGTGCAGGTTCTTACAAAGAAGCGAAGCTCGTCATAACTGTACCCCTCCAAGGTTGGTATTACTACTCTTTCTGATTTTATTCCCACGAGCTGCCATTCGCCCTGTGTTGCCATTTCTTCTTTGGACGCCTGAAAGATTTGCTCATATGTGCCTAGAAGTTCCAGTTGTATAGCACTGCCTGCAAGGACAATAAAGTCATAGTAAGACATGTAGAAATATACTTTCTTGAATAAGAAAAAATCCTATATTACGGTTTAAAATCAGAGTCCACAGAGTTTTTACTTACTGCGGTGTATGTAGGAGTTGAAGGTGAAAGTGCAGTTTTGAACATCAAAGGGAAACAGATAGATGTTGAGACTGCAGGAGCTAACGACTCGGACGGGCTTTGCATCGTATACCAGACCATCATAGCGCAGGTAGGTGTATGGGACTTCTGGAGCTGAGTTCTTCTCCATGCTGCAAATATTTAGACGCAAAAACTCATTAAACTTAGTGTAGAATAAATATTATGCTCCTCAACCAGAGCACCTCAATCCAATGACACGGTGTCAGCAATTTTTAAACTATTTATGCCTTTTAATTATTTATTCACATTTGTTCATATCATATCCACAAACTTACGTGTTTTTTATAACGATTAAATGAGACTGATAAACAAGGAATATTACTGACATATAAGGATTATTACACATTGTTTTCAATTTTATAGATAATAACATTGTGGGAAGACCCCTTCATTCTACTTGCCTCTTCTTCTGTCTTGTCACTCTGTCTACTTTTCAGGGTAGGCTTAAAACTTTCCTTTTTGATAAAGCTTATAGTTAGAGTGGCTCAGTTTATCCTTACTTATCTCTATAGTTATGCTGCTATAGGCTTAGACTTCTTGAGGACATAGGGACCCCTTTTTTATCGTTCTCCTGCATTCTATCTCTATTCTCCCACTCTGCACAATCTGTTAGTTCAATCTCTTAATGCTAGGTTCTCTCTGCTTTTTCTCATAGTAGCTTTGCCTCATCTGTTCCTGTTTGGCTGTGACAGCATCCTGGAGAGAAATATCAGCTGTGCTGCTGCTGTCAACTCCTTTGTTTATAGTTGTTGCCTGGTTTTTAGTGTAGTCCTGTTTCTCTGACTGTGACTGGCTGGATGTGCTCTCTTCATCCTCTGACATGGGAGCTGGCTTGGAGCTCGTCTGCCTGGCTGTGTGTTTCCTGGATGGGGCCGCCTTTTGCAGCTGCTTTTTGTATCTCTGCTTCTGTTTCCTTGAACCCCAGTCAGCCTCAGCAGATGGCCACTCACACTGAGCCTGGTTCTGCTGGAGGTTTCTTCCTATTAAAAGGGAGTTTTTCCTCTCCACTGTCGCTACAAGCATGTGTGAGGGATTTCCTTTGAGTCAATGAGTCAATGCAATCAACTGGTTTTCCTTAGATAGAAAACTTTGAATCAATCTGACTGGATGATCTGGTTGAACTGTAAAGTGCTTTGAGATGACATGTGTTGTGAATTAGCGCTATAAACTGAATAGAATTCTAATATCTTAGTAAATAGAGTCAGTCTGTGGTTAACTGAATCTCAGTGCAAATCCAGCCTTAAAGGTTGTGAGCTTAGAGCAGCAGCATCAAATACCTTGGTTCATCAAACTGTTCAAAGATGGCCCTGCTTGATACACGACGTGTTCCTAATATCGTATTTCTCCCTGTTTTAATATGCTGACATGATAGAATCCTCAACAGACCATTTAGCACACCTCTTTATTCTCTATATTCTGCATATTCATGGAGACAGAACCCGCTAACTGGTTTCAGCCTGCCAATTTTTTAAAGGATTAAAAGTTCTCTTTTATACACATATTATTTTGTTTTTTCAAACATTCATTCATTAATTCATTCATTTGTTCGTTCATTTTGTCAACCATTGTGGATCAGCTGTTCTTGCGCTGCAAAGTTTGCACGTGTTTCAGTCAAGTTTCAAGCTCTGAATTTACCAAAAACAAAACACTATTATCAAAAAGTAAGCTAAACAAAAAAGGATTAACTAGAATAAAAAAAAAAAACTAACATTTGTAAGAATAACAGTAATGGCAAGAACTGTTAAATCATACAGCAAGGAAATACTGATAACATAAAAACAAATAAAACTAAACCCCAACCCTTATGCTACGTTCAGACTGGACGCAGCAAAAGCAGCAAAATTGCGTCTGCTGCTTCCTTTTTGCTGCTTGTACCAGTTAGTTCTGACGCGCAGCTGAAGCAGCTTTGCTGCTCTGGCTGCGCGGTGCAAAATTGTGTCTGACGCGCGTTGGGCGGAGCTTCACTATCCTTTCTCTGCCTTGCAGCTATATTTGCTGTGATCAGTGGGAATAAAGTAGTTTTAATATGTTTTTAAGTGAGAAAATACACCTGAAAACTTCATCAGTGCAGTCAGTTCATCCAGATTACAATCCTGCCTCCCAATGTTATTTCTGTCGGAGCCGCTCAGACCCCCACATACCGGCGGTGCGCCGAGAGTAGGAATCCCTTCAACAGCAGCCTCTGGCCGGGTCGCCTCCTCGCGGTTCACCGCGGCAGCTGGTAGGTGTTTTTCATCTAAATAATCCGATCTGCAGGCACCAGAATAATAAAAGCTAACATATTCTGCCGGCAGATGTATGCATTTTAAGTTAATTATGCGTTAATAAACTGTTTAAGAGGAGTGATAATAGCGCTCTGATCATCAGCGCTGTGTCTCTCTCCCAGCCAGCTCCCAAATCAGCTTCTCTGATTGGTTGACACGGCGCGTCGAGCAGCAAAAATTCAATTTTTCCATCTCGAGCAGCAGCGCGTTTGCGGCGCGTCATGCGCGTCAGATGCTTAAACGCGCCCGACGTGCTGCTTCAGCTGCTTATGCTACGTTCAGACTGGACGCAGCAAAAGCAGCAAAATCGCGTCTGCTGCTTCATTTTTGCTGCTTGTACCAGTTAGTTGTGACGCGCGGCTGAAGCAGCTTTGCTGCTCTGGCTGCGCGGTGCAAAAGTGTTTCTGACGCGCGTTGGGCGGAGCTTCACTATCCTTTCTCTGCCTTGCAGCTATATTTGCTGTGATCAGTGGGAATAAAGTAGTTTTAATATGTTTTTAAGTGAGAAAATACACCTGAAAACTTCATCAGTGCAGTCAGTTCATCCAGATTACAATCCTGCCTCCCAATGTTATTTCTCTGTTGTGTCTCTCTCCCAGCCAGCTCCCAGATCAGCTTCTCTGGTTGACGCGGCGCGTCGAGCAGCAAAAATAAATTTTTTCCATCTTGAGCAGCAGCGCGTTTGCGTCGCATCAGATGCTTAAACGCGCCCGACGCGCTGCTTCAGCTGCTCAGACGCGCTGCGCCTGCTGCTCAAAACGTGCCACGGGACCTTTTGCTGCGCCTTGACGCGCGTCAACCATTGACTTTGCATGTAAACTCGCTGCTTCTGTCGCGCCAGCTGCGTCCGGTGTGAACGCAGCATAAGAGATGTGTCATACAGTACAAAGGAGTGAATCCAATCTCTAGTTGTGCAAATTTTTCAGAAACATTTTTCTTACACTCCACCAACTTAAAACCCAGAAGATGTTCTTTTCACTAAGCAAGAACTCTGGAGAAAAAGAAATGCACACTAAATGTTTAGAAATGATTTCTAAAACTAGAAAAAGTGCTACCTACTATTTTTTTTCTTTCACTTTACATTAATCTCAAGCTTTCATTTGGTCAAAGTTTTGATTAAATTAAGTAGACAGAAGTAGTGTGTCTAGGAGCTAAATGAAGCCAAAAGAGGCCAAACAAATATGTGAGAGCAAACAGAAGCTTTCTTTTAAAAGGTAATCCAGAGTTATATCCCATGTAAACCCTGACATCTCTATGTTCTCAATCATTTATCTACTTTCCTAAAAATAACTTACAACTCGTTGATGACGATATCTGGTACCCAGAGCAGGTCTCTTGCAATTGCAATCCATTCAAGACCACACTCCACTGGGTCCCACGACGTAAATTCGTTTTTCCACTCCTGCAATGATAACATGTTTTAATTGAAATAGAAAACTTTTTTTTCATCAGCAGAATGCAGCACATTAATATGCTTTCCCCCCCTTTTTTCTTATACTCTATTGCAGAACTATACAAGGAAAATACTCACTAGAGTTTCCCATATGAAAGTTGTTAGAACCTGGCTCTTCTCATCCTGAAAATAAAAGCAAACACCTTTTCCATAAGAAACATTTTAACAAAAAATCTAGAAAAGAAAAGAAGTTAAATAGATCCAGTTCTTTAGCAAAATCTACAAACTGTTGATTACCATTCTGAATATATCTAGAGACAAATATATTTCCTACCACTCCCAAAATGCCAAAGAGGGTAAATTGAATTCCAACTCGGGTCGGGACTGAGATATTTATCACAGGTCGAAGAGATTTCAGTTCAAACACCGGCTCAAGGGACCTGAGCAGTGAGGCTGGAGTTGGCTGAGAGCAGTTCAGAACAGCTGAGCTGAATGGAGCTGCCGTGGACAGGAAGAGGAAACCACTAATTAACATTCATTTAGACCCTCCGTCCATCAAGTAGTAGAAAAAAACACTATTTCCTAACTGTTAATATCAACCTCAATGAAATCATAGCTATTTGCAGAGCCATAGCATCTGAATCTTTTTTCCAAAGGTCTTTAAAGTTTGGCAATCAACAGTTGAAGATATTAAATTCTGCTTTAAATTCCTTCTAAAGAGCATAAAACCAATTTAGTCCCTGGGTCCTGCATCAAAGTATTTACTTACCAAATGGTAATGTGTTCACATGCTACTAACTTATATACAACATACATACGTAAGTACACAGTGTCACATTTCTAGAATTGTATGTACAGTATCAGGGCAGGATATCATTTCAACAGTTATTTAAATCTGACTTAAGATGCACTAAAGAAAGACTGCTTGTGATGTGGAAAAATAAAAGCTTGGCTGAAACTGAGTTAATACAAGCAGGTAAGTAATGGTGTATAATGGAAAAATGGGTCACAAACTCCAAGATGATGAAAGAGACCAATGAAGAATCTTCATGTTTTTACTGCAAATGGTGCCTTTGAAAGACAAATTATGATAGGTGAATTTTTTTTTCCTACAGTGTTTCTGGCTTCATATTTTGTTTACTTTATAGTCATTACAGTATTTACAGTTTAGAAGAAAAAAAAGAAAGATATTAATTGGAACTTAGTAAAGATCAGGTATATTTTAATTGTCCTGATAGAAATAAAACTGTGTGCACTTCTTTTTTCTTTTTCTTTTTTACAGTATATAGTTTTCAGTTTATAAACAGAACAGTAAAATGAACAGCAATGAGATGGAAATATAAGATATGTCCTCAACTCACCAAGTGTCAGCAGAGAGATGAGGAAGAATAGCTGCTGAGAAGGCTTGACTTTCAGCGGGCAGCACTAGAAACATTAACACTGGGTCAGTAGTAGTTGTTAAACTAATTGGTAAGGGAGAGGGCTGTCCTGTAAGATCTGGGAATACGTTTAAGATTCACTTTTTGATAAACAAAAAAATCAAATATGTATTTTTGGTATAATAAATATTAATTTCTGAAAATAATTTTCTTTTCTACATAAATCAACATTCAGGCAAAATAAAAAAATTTCTGGTTGGGCTATTAACTCATTTCAATTAATTCATTAAGACATTAAGGACTTAAGGATTCCTGGAGGCCAAATCTTTAAAAAATGAATTATTAAGATGAATGACATAGGATGTATAAATATTTTAGTTTTATGCCATATGTTTTTTGATTAATTTGATCTTTTATAATGGATTTTATTTAATTGCCCTCCAGTTTCCTGTTGACTCAACTACCCATAATGCCCTGGTTTAGGACAAACCTGAAAAAGAAGCAAAAATATTTCCTTCACATTCTTTCTTAAACTACAATGTGTTTTCATAATTAACTAATTTATTATTTAGGACTGCTGTAAACCAACTTTGCCCTAAAATACAGCAGCAAATGCCTCATTGAGCCCTATAATTTGTATGCAGCTTAATCTGATTAATCTTTCTCAAATGATAAGCCTATGGAAATATCAACGAAGAAACAGACAAAATAAAATGTTGGAAATAATTAAGAAATAATTAAGAAAAGCTGTTGGATGTTTTTCCAGTAATTTTTATTTTTCAAACTTTCCTCCATTTAGAATTGCACAATTTTACATAAGCAATTTAACTTTATATGTAATAAGTAATGTTCAAATAATAGTGTTTAAATCCAAGTAAATTGATATAAACAATATACTTAACAACTTTTTTATATATTGCATAAATATTGCTGCTAAAATAATCATTGGTTGAATTTCTAGAATTAACAATAACAATGCTATCAACATTCTCCAAATGCCTATTGAATAAATGTAGGCTTGTCTAACACGCAGCAGTCTACTGATTGTATGAGTTCACCCAGATAACAATGATGGTGATGAAGCTGACCGATACGAAGACAATGTAGACGCCAAACAGCAGGCGGTCAATGATGAAACCCACCTGCATCCACTCCTCTGAGCTCTGGCTGCCATTGTGCTGCTGCTCCACCTCAGAGCGGATGGCCATCAAAACGTTGTTCAGGCTCCTCAGCTCCTGAAGGGCCTCATCCTGATCAGCTGATCCTGCTGTCCCTGAAGGCCCCTCATTGGATCCACATTTGAGCACCACAGCATTCTGTTGTCCTTTTTTTCCAGGAAATATTGTTTACATTTATTTAACAATCTTTACTGCATTTATTAAAGTTACTTATTTTTCAATTTTTTTTCAAAATGTACCTGAATTCTTTGATTTCTTAGCCTTTCGGGGCATGCAAACAAGACAGCCAAAAAAATTCAGAATAAGCATCCGAATCCATCGAGGGACGGGGGACAGTTTAGAGGAGTTGCTCAATAGGTTGGTGATGAAGATGGTCTCCAGAAGACTGGCCACCATTAAACCCAGACAGAGAGAGAAGAACACATCTGATGGAGAGAGACCAGAGGATTTAGGTGTTAGCGTATTGGTTAAGGTAGGAATGTATATTTATAATAAAAGAAAACATCAGTTTAGAAGAAAATCAGTGAAAAAGTCAGGAGAAAAAGGCCATTAGCTCTGTTCTCTGAAGCCCATACTGACTTATTAGCGGTATGGTGTTTCCAGTGACTGGAAGCAGGTCACTCATCATGAGCAGGAAGACCGTGTAACCCAGGATGAGGGTCATCTTAAAGGAGGATCTGTCGGTGCTCTGAGGAGGCAGGAGGAAGCTCAAGAGATCCACTGCGATGAGGAAGCAGCTGGGGAGCAGCAGATTCACCACATACTTGGTTGCACGGCGCCGCAACCGGATCTGCAGAGAGAGAATGCACGGGATTTAAACTAGACGAGGTGTTTTGCGAGACTAATGTATTCAAATAAAAATCCTAAATAAACTTACATAGAATGTAAGCTTGTCGACATAAAGAACAGACTCTTCATCATTGACAAGTTTTTGGGCAGTAATGTCCAGCAGCTCCCATTCACCCATGGTGGTCATCACTTGCTTGGACAGATTGGTGATCGCCTCTGGGTCTCGTCCGAGGAAAACCCTGACCTCAATAGCTGGAGAGAAAAAAACAACAACAGCTGACCTCAGAATCCCCCAAACATAAATAAAATCACTCATTCAATCAGTCTGTCTGTCTAATTTACAGCTATTTGCTTTTTAGTCCCTCTCTGGCCTCCATGTCTGCTAAATTTTGTGTTTTTCTTTTTTCTTTTTCAATGCTACTACAGCAAATTTCAGCTTTAGTCTGTTCATGTTTATATATATATATATATATATATTATTTTTTATTTTTTTATTTATTTTGTATTTTATCAAATCAACTAATTGTTATTAACAAAAATCTGAACACCCTTCACTAAAATAGTTTTAAAAATGTTTATATTAGGATTGCATATAAATTGCAGAGCTGGAGGTGGTTTGAATAAGAAATTCTAAGGCAAATAAAGATGTTCTTTCCTGGACCAATAAAAAAATAATGATTGTGTTTTTCATACAAACAAGGTCTAATTGCAAGATAATATAAAAGAGTGAGTGATGGTGCCTCACCGTAGTAGATGTAGGAGTTGAAAGTCAGGGAGCACTTCTGTGTGTCAAACGGGAAGGTGTAGATGTTGAGGTTACAGGAGCTCACAACTCTGACAGGAAATCCGTTCCTCACTTTACCGTCGTTAAAGAGGTACACGTATGGGACGGATGGTGCTTTGTTTTCCTCCATGCTAAAGGAGCCATAAATGCAGATATGTAGAATTAGAGCAAAGCACTTAAATTACAATACAGGAGAATGTGCTTTTGTAATTGAAAATGAAGGCAAATAATGCCCCAAAAAAAAAGATACCGATTCTACAGAGCTTGCAGGTGAGAAAAATGGCAAAAAACCCCCCCCCAAAAAATCTAGTTAACTAAAACATATATAAAATTAGTTGTGCCAAGGGACACATACGTGGTCAAAATATAAATAAGTATTTTTAATTCATTTTTAGCATTCATCTAATTAATTTTATAACAACATGAAGGTTTGACATTATGGTGAGCATTGTAAAGTGCATTACTGAAAACTCACAATTCATTTATCACAATATCTGGAACCCAAAACTTTTCCTTTGGTAGAGCAATCCTGTCTGAGCCACACTGGTCTGGGTCCCAACTGATGAAGTCATTCTTCCACCACTCCAGCAAAAAAACAAAACAAAACACTGTTAACATTCACAATATCCTCCATTGTGTCAAAACCATTTGCCTGTCTACTTTGACATGTCCTTCAACTATACACGAGCCGCAGGAGTGTAAAATCTAACAGAAAGCTTTTGACAAGGTATTAAAGACGGATACTGGCGCCTTGTGGAAAAACTTCCTCATATAAACAGAAGTGCTTACAAAGGGTGGATATTAATCCTAGGTGAATTAAGGATGGGAGGTAATTAAAGTTTATGTATATATATGCAGGCAGATAAATATTCAGGCAATACAGAGTATGTTTATATTTGCAGAATAAACAGATTCAAAGCAGATAAAAAATGGTAATAGTTATTTGCTTACATAGACGAGCCAAATATAAGTGACCAGGAGTTGAGACTTTTCATCCTGAAATATAAAGACATCAGTCAGATTAAATGATAACCAGATCAGGACTCTTTATTAATCTCTTTAAGTGTTTTAGGCTGAACCTACCACTCCTAAAATCCCATAGAGAGTGAAGTAAATGCTGACGTTGGTGTAGGTTTGTTGGTTTTCTACGGGCCGAATGGCTCTAAGGTTGAAGGCAGGGGACAGAGCCACCAGGAGGCCCGGCTGGTCCGACTGGGAGCAGTTCACTACATTTGCGCTGCAGAAAGCTGATAAAGAAAATTTAGGAAGAGTTTGCAGCATTTTCACTTTGCAGAAATATATTTGTCATGTTTTAGAATGTTATAATTTAACCTTTTTTACACAACTGAATGTAAAGAACAGCAATTAATCAAGGATTTTATAAATACTCGCAGTAATAATAAAAAAGCTCACCTGGCAGGATGACAATGAGAATAACCACCGTGTGACTGACTGATGGGAGGAGCCACTGAAAATAAAATAAAAATCAACTTATCTCTTGAATAATGTTTCATAGTTTAAATTAACTAAGTAAATGTTTTTCTTTTTTCTATTACAGATTTACAGTCAGCCTTACACTTATTACCAAATGTGTTCCCCTGACAAAAGTGAGTAAAGTAATATTTTAATGTTACTATAATGTTTACTTTGACTGGAGGCAATGATCGTCTGGTCTGGTGCAGAGTCCTTACTTAAAGTTACTTTTACCTCTTAAACTTGGAGCTCATCATCATAGATAAATGTTAAGAAAACCAGAGGAAACAGGAAAATAAGATCCTTACTAAATATAAGAAGGTTTTACCTGCTTATATGTCAATAGAAAGGTCAATTTACAAAAATTGGTCCAAATAAGATTTGACACATTTTTTTAAAAAAGTGTATGAAAGATGAAAAAAATGTATATGGTTTACCAAATTTGAAGAGATGCATGTTACTTAAAGTCTGAATTTATCCCTTTTAAGTGAATCAAAGTTGAGAATTGTTTCAAATGCAGCAGATGATGCTTTACCTTAAGTGTTGTTTTCTTTGATTCCATTATGCTGAATGTGAGTTATAATTTAGCAGTTGCCTCTTTGTCCCTTTATATGTATAAGAAAAATAGAATAAAAATCAAATTGTTGAACTCTACTTTAAAATGAAAACCAAAGAACAATGGCAGAATACCTGCAATGGACTTGGTCTCTAACTTTTCAAAAGCTAAATTCAGCGTCTGACTGAGAAGATATACACAACACCACCGTGACCCGAGTGTAAAAAAACCCACTGCAAATTATGTGGGAGAGCTGAAACAGAAAGCAGGATAGCTGCTGAACCAAATACAAGCCACAGCTGACGTGAAGGACCTCAGGCTGGGGCTTGTATGTGGTGAAGACGGACCACAGCGCTGTCAAAGTCACAGCTGATGGTTACAGGCAAATGAACAGTGGCCGGCCTACGAGAAACAGGTGTCATCTGGTTTCTACTCAAAATCCTCTGCTAACCACCTTTCTTTACATGTTGAACAAGATATTTGTTTGAAATAAACATGTATCAAATTTCTATCAGGGCCATGTTGTTTTTTCGTTGTAGATTGGGGCAGGATTTATAGAACTGCAGAAGCCAAAAACAAACAAAAAATATTTACAAAATTTTTTACAAATTTTGCAAAAAACCTTCAACACATAAAACGGCATCAAATAACTGTGGAAGTTTCTTCTACTGTCAATAAACCTTCTTGGATGTGCTGTCATATGGCTTTTAAATATAAATCCTTTAATGTCCCAGAATGGGGAAATTAACTCTTTGCATTTAATCCATCCCTCTTAGGGAGCAGTGGGCTGCCATAGTGCGGCGCCTGGGGAGCAGTGTGGGGTTAAGGGTCTTGCTCAGGTACCTAGAGTGGAAGCTGTGGGAGTGTGTGGGGCTTGAACTCAGATCCTCTGGGACCAGAGGCCAATGTACAAGGCTTTAACCACTAGGTCACCACTTCTGTGATAGTTTTATTATATGAATTTATGAAAGTAAAGCAGCAACTGTTCAATAAACACCATCTTTTTGTGAACTGATCAATATATACTTTTCTATGGGGCAACTTTAGCTGTGAACAAAGTGTTTTCCCCATTTTTGAAAATAGTAGAAATTATTATATTTATGAAATCCAAAGCTTGTAAAGAAATAACAGGAGTTTTGGTTTGAGGATTTTCAGTTAATTTAGGATAATTAGGTAGCCAATGCCTAGAAATAAAAATAATACAACATATTTCAATAAAAGGTGCATTTAAAAAAACTAAAAGAAAAGCTAAATGAAAATGAAGAAATGGAAAATAAGAAAATTACATAATAATAATAATAATAATAATGAATTTTATTTGTTACGCACTTTACATTTGACTTCAAATCTCAAAGTGCTACAAAGTGCTACATTTAAAAAAGGGGAACATTAAAACAAGTTTAAAAGACCATAACATTAAAAAAAGACAATCATTAAAATCAATACATTCAAAGGCATACGTAGCCTATTAAAAAAAATCTAAAATGAACAATTGTAGGCATTTCTAAAAAGGAAAGTTTTCAGTCCAGTACATATGAACTATAAAAGGGATTTTTATTTATGTATTTGAAGAAAGCCTTAAGTAAGCCTTCTTGAAAGGCATAATGTAATTTATCAAATATCCATCGATCCTTTTTCCATCATGCTTATCCCAAGTGGAAGGGTTGCTGGTGCATATCTCCAGCTGTCTATGGGCGAGAGGCGGGGTACACCCTGGACAGGTTGCCAGTCCATCACAGGGCAACACAGAGATAAAGAGGACAAACAAACAGTCACTCACACCTAAGGAGAATTTAGAGAAGCCAATTAACCTAACAGTCATGTTTTTGGACTGTGGGAGGAAGCCGGAGTACCTGGAGAGAATCCACGCATGCTCAGGGAGAACATGCAAACTCCATGCAGAAAGACCCCAGAATTCGAACCCAGAACCTTCTTGCTGTAAGGCAGCAGTGCTACCCACTGCTCCACTGAGAAGCCTATTTTTTATTTTTTATTTATTTAAAAAAAGTAATTGGAGGCTTTCAGTTATTAATGCACACATTCAGCCACACATAAGAGCTCTTTCAAGCTGGGCACTGTTTCATTCATAACACCTGTCCCATCAACAAGGAATCACAATCAGAAAAACTTTAATAATCCCAGGGAGAAATTACCTTTGTTACATTACTCCACATGTAATAGACTGACTATAGGACCAGTTTGATAAAACACAATTTCATACAATACATATAATTAGGGGGTCCCCGCTTCATCTAGCCATCACTTTTGGGGTCCTTGGCCTGGAAAACATTGAAGACCCCTGGTTCATAAATGGATTATAAGAGAATCAAGAAAAATAAACAAAGCAGACATAAGTATTTATTTGAAGTAAGAGAGATGAGGAAGAATAGCTGCTCAGAGGAACAGATTTTTAACAGGCAGCATTAAAAACATTAATTGTGCTCCGTCATTTTCAATATGAGTAGTAGGATAAAATCACCCCGTAAGATCTGGGGATGGGTTTAAGTTTAAAAAAGTATTTTTTTTTTCTTGTGGGAAAATAAAGGGATTTTCTATTCTTTTCTATATATCTTCAATTCCCCAGTTTTATGAGCAAATATTTCCTGACAAAACTTTAGGAATGAGGTACTTTTACAGTAGGAAAAATATGACTTCGGTGCTCAAAGCCACTAAGAAAATATTTTTCACTTTTACATAATATAGTATATAAATGTGCACATTAAATACAGTCAGGTACATACATATTTGATCACCCTACTACTTTGCAAGTTCTCCCACTCAGAAATCATGGCAGGGTCTGAAAATGTCATTGAAGGTACATGTCCACTGTGAGAGACATAATCCAAAAAAGAAACTCCAGAAATCACAATGTATGAGGTTTTAACTATTTATTTGTATTATACAGCAGCAAATAAGTATTTGAACACCTGTCTATTAGCTGGAATTCTGACCCTCAATAGTCTGTCGTCAAGAATGTCCACCTCCACTCCATTTATCATCCTGAATTAGATGCACCTGTTTGAGGTTGTTAGCTGCATAAAGACACCTGTCCACCCCATATAACCAGTAAGAATCCAACTACTAACATGGCCAAGACCAAACAGCTGACACTCATAAAAATGACTCATTGGATTAACTCAATTTAATTGAGGGTAGTTTTTCCATGCAAAGCTGAACCAAAAAACTTTTTCTTTATTTTTTTTTAGTTCCTGTGTGGTGTAATTTTATTGAGTCTGTTCAATACAATAAAAAAAAAACTTTTAAAAGAAAATGAATACCTACACCAAATTTAAATATGCCTGGTTGGTTCAATTTAATACAATCTAATTCTGTTTAACTATATTTGTCCCTTGATTGAATTCCATTATGTTCAACTAACTCATAACATTTAAATAACCCAATGACAAATTAATTACACAGTGTTTTTGTCAGTGTTTGGTTGAGGTTGGAGGACCCAAATGCAGAGGCAGGGAGGCAGAGGTGAGTTTTTGCAGTTTTAATTGAATGATGACTGGTAACAGAGGCAAGAATCTAAAAATCCAACTTAAAATGTTAAACTAACCAGAACTATGGAGACATCAGGGAAAACAAGCAGGAGGAGCCAGGGTAAGAGGAGAAACCAGCACTGAGGAACTGCACAGGGAGAGTATTTATGGTTGACTGAACAAAGGCAGGACTAACGAGCTGATTGGGAGCAGGTGAGAACAGAGGCTTCTAGAAAAGAGCTAGGTAAAAGAAAACTAACACAAGATGGCAACAGAAGGCAACAAAGAAAAGCCTAAGAACTTAAATACATCCAAAAACAAAACAAAATAGGAATTAAACCAATATAACTAGAAAATAAAGAAAAACATGAATCAACATAAAACTGAAAACTCAAAGAAAACTTAACAAAACTATGACCATAACAGTTTTTGACATAATGAAGCACTGGTGAGCAGAAAAACCCCCAAAATTTGTCAACATGGAGAAATTCACTTGGAGAAAATGTCAGAATTCAAATGCGAAAGCAACAAATAAAAAGTTTATTGACATGAACAAATGAGCTGGTCTTATGCATGCCGACCTCGGCAGAAGACGTCGATATTGAGAGCAGGAAACCGAGGACGCCCTGGACGGTGATTGGCTTATATCAAGGCAGGGAGATTCACCCATAGGCTGGAGCAGAGTCTCATGGTGAAGAGACTGGTAGCAGGTTAGAGTCTTCCAGTTTAAACCCGGGCCTAAGCTTCATAACTCAGTTAAGAGTAGTACTACTTTAATATATCTTTCCTCAAGTAAAAGTAAAATAGAACAATATTAAATCAAAACAGTAATACATGACTAATTATAACATCTGATTTTATTTTCACAACATTATCTAGTCAGATGAACATAAATATAAAGTTAAGTGCAAATTCTGGTAACTTAAACTCCAAATGATAGAACGAGGGAATACAGTATAATACATAATGTTTACTATATGTTTACTTAAAGGTAGGGGATAAAAAGTAAGTAAAGTTGTGCATAAACCAAAATAACAGGTTTTTACTTTCACATTTCATGTGATTCTGTTGCATTGTGACAAGAATTTGCACTCAGATAAACATAGGGTCCTTATAATATTACTTAAATAAAATGAAAAAGTACAGTAAGAAAATACAGAATATATTTCTAAATATTTACTCTGTCAAGACTCAGTAAATGTACCAAGTTACTATGCACCTCCCTAATTAAACAAAACAGTTCACCTAAATAGCAAATAAACAATTAGTGAAAAACAAACAATATTAGTTACTGTAACAACTTTGTAACATTTTATGTATTGCATAAACATGGTCCTTTAAATTCATTCATGTTTACATTTATATGAACTTACATTATGATTAGATTTGTGCAAATGATTATTGAATAAATGTAGGGTTGTCTAACACGCAGCAGTCTACTGATTGTATGAGTTCACCCAGACAACAATGATGGTGATGAAGCTGACCGATATGAAGACAATGTAGACGCCAAACAGCAGGCGGTCAATGATGAAACCCACCTGCATCCACTCCTCTGAGCTCTGGCTGCCATTGTGCTGCTGCTCCACCTCAGAGCGGATGGCCTTCAAGACGTTGCTCAGGCTCCTCAGCTCCTGAAGGGCCTCATCCTGATCAGCTGATCCTGCTGTTCCTGAAGGCCCCTCATTGGATCCACGTTTTAGCACCACAGCATTCTTCCTCAGCTCTGTTTTTGGGAAACAGTTAT